GAGTGTGCAATCCACTGCGCCACCCAACCACCAAGTATACACAATATATAGAGGTACATGCATGTCTGTGCATATAGAAGCAGTCGCAGGTTATTTCTATTCAAAATAACCCATCAATTGACGAATGACTGCCTTTTATAAGGAAATACAGAAACTTAATAAAAAAATACTGATTCATCTGTCATTTTCTCATAATGAATAACTTTACAGAATTACATCATTATTTAGGCTTATTTTTAAAATGGATTAATTCCCCTTAAACATATTCATGTGAAACCAAAACAATTAAAGAGGACTTTAGAAAGGTTTTCTGGTCGCCATCATAATCTCATTGAGAATTAGTATGTATCCCTGTGCAATAAGAAGGTTGATGTTGTTGATACTGAATATTAAGGTGCCTTATAGTGTCGGTGGCATTATTATGTTTCTTACTTTTGGGACGTGACATTTATGAAGCTAAAGGAACAGTTTGTCATTTTCCAAGCTTCCTGCAGAACACCTACTTTGTAGATTCATCAGTGGTTTTGAGTGACGGTCCTTAATTTAGTCACTAAAACACAATTTTGAATTTCCACATTTAAAAAATGAACAGTTTTGCAGATGTTATTTGTTAAGAAGTTATAAATAAATGCATGGCTAAAATAAAGTGAATTGAGCCTCCTGCTTTTCTTTTAGAATGTCATTAATGATATCTTTGAATACACATCATGCATATTTAGAAATAACAACTATTTAAGCTATGGGAATTTTTAATGAACGCCATTTGTGAAATATCTAGATAATCTGTAAGCAATATAAATATGAAGTTGTTAATTTAATTAGCATAACTACTTTAGATGCATATGAGATTGAATCACACCTTATGTAAGCCTGAATAATCAAGCAAAATTTACTAGTTAATCTAACATATCAATGATTTTGTATAAAATATAAATTAACAATACCGGCTTTAGACTATCTATTTTATGCATAATGTGACACCTGTCCCTTCCATCCCTAGAATTACAAAACCTTCCTAAATACAAAGTTATGACGTAACCTAAGTCCTTAAGGAATGAGCCACTTATGACACCCAGCTTAATGTTCAAGCATACCTGCCCAACAGACCGACGAATCAGTCATGTTTACAGTTTCTGTACGACAATAATCTCTGTGAAAATACAGTAGTCAAATGCCTCGTTTAAGCTGTTTTGATTCAGGTAAAATAAACATGTACAAAGGTAATGGAACAAGTATAATTGCAAGAGGCATTTCACGTACCTATACAGAGTCCTTCTCATCGTAAGTGGTAAGCTCTGCTGATAATGCTAATACACATTTGCAGTGATAATGTGGTAAATAATAAGTGAGTCAAGTACTTTTGTTTTCATCATTAAGATGAAATCTGAGAGAGAAATAAACAATTGTCCATATGATACTTGCTAGATCCTTACTTTTCCTGTAATTACGGTTTTCAGAAATACTTGGTAAAATACAATAAGGTGTGTTACGATGAAACAGTTTGTAAAAAAAGAATCAATTTATTTATTTAGTTATTTTATTTTTTACTTATAGTATTTTATACTTTGTATTATACATGGTCAAATGCCTTGCTTATATCGAACAACACAGATCTATCTTCTTCACCCGAGTAAACTGCCCTTCCCAAATAATCAGCTTTACTGCAGGGGTATGATCCCCATTGTAACTAATCCATACTCATAAAACATCGTGAACACATTAAAAATAGACCTTTCGCTTACTTCCCCAACAATATTTCACAGAGAAATATGACTATATCTATTTCTTTTCGTTCATTTTGTGTACATGAATAGAATTGGCTATTCTCCAAGATTCTTGAAATCTACCAATGTATGGGTTCATAGCGGCAGGATTAATTTATTTGTACATTTCTTGTAAAATAAACGAGTATTCATAAGCTTTTGAAGAATCGAGAAACAATAAACCATCACAAATATAAAGTTAATGATGATATTGTCTTATTGATAAACTGTAGTTTGATTTACGGGGAAATTGGAGTGTATATCGTAAACTGTAGACTCTGAAGTATAATAATCGTTTAACAGGGTTATAAATGATTTGATAGTTTTCCACTAATATTTTGTATTTATGCCGTTCGTATTACGTAGGCTAATAGTAAGCTTTTGGAATATTTGGCAATTCTACAACCTTTAGCCCTTTTATCATGTAAACACCTTTAACTATGCCAGTCGATGGGGTAACTTGAAATGATCACTAGAAATAAGAAGAAATCACCTATTTAAAGGTATTGATGCAGAAAACGAAACTAAGACAACATTTTACTTATCGTCATTTCTTCGATTTAGGACGTTTAAGATAATTCTATGAATTTTGTAACACATGCATGAAGGATTATGTGGTCTTATTGTTGCAGATTTATAAGATATACCTTATGGACCAATGCTGATAAAGTTATAAGCATGTTCGTACACGATTCATTTCTGTCGATTGGTATAATTAGATCGTTTAAGAGAGCATCTAACACATCTTATACATTTTCTATGGTAGAGTAATAGTCGTTGAGTTTAATAACCATACAATTCTTTTGTTTCAGTTTGTTATGAAGGTCGATCTTTTAATAATGCTCATTAGATCTAGAATGCCTTGTGGTTTTGTTGTCATTATCCGAATTCCCTATGTGAAGACGTGACATCACTTGGATTTGGCTTAGATTTACATGGCGTGTGTACTTCCGGAACACCGGGTTTAATCCCTTGGTTGTTTTGCAAACGGCTCCGTGTAATATTTTCTTTGTTCTTATTTTCCCCTAGTTTTATCGAATTCGAGTTTGAATTATGAATTTGTTGATCCTTCGAATTCGATAAGCTCTTGTTTTTTGTTTTTCTTGGTTTGTGAGAGTAACGTCATCAATTTTTGGGAAAACGACATAATTTTCTCACACAAACCAATGACGTAACAATCAATACCTGCTCACAAAAGAAGATAACTCTGCAATACGCAAAGACGGAATAGAACGTAATCGTTAAAATTCAGGGCAGTATGTGTTGTACAAGAAATAGTGTTTAAATAAAACAACGCAATGTTAGGTTTAAACATACAAAGCAATAATACCTATCAACCAAATGCTTGTGCAAGTGCTTTGTTCATATTTTAAAAATTGTCAAGAATATAGATTGTATGTAGAACGTTACGATTAAAACGAGGATGGATGAATCATGTTTAATCCATTTTCAACAGTGAACTATCAGAAATTTCCAGTGGATTTAAAACTTATTGGCAAGCGTGACGGCATTAGATCCTTCCGTCAAACATCCCGATACTATTTTTGAAATACGAATGTTAAATTCAGAAAACAATAATGGTTTTCCTGTAAAATACCATATATATTTCAGAAAAAAAGTATTCAAAAGAAAACCAATGGATATCCTCTATTTGTTAACATTATTAACAAATTATTGACATAAAAAAGAACATAAATTGCTATTCGAGTTTGTGTTGATTAGTTATCGAACCTGAATATCAAGATTTGCAATCTAATTAATATCAGACTCGTAACTCTGTTTCACAAAAATACACTACAATATAACCTTGTATTGGAATGTATCTTAGTAGAGCAAAAATGCAATATGATTTTATTATATTGTTGGGAAATAGGAAATCGGTGTTGTACAACAAATGCCTATAAACCTATCCGTAGCACCCTACCTCTCCTCCCCCGTTGTTTAACGTATATGAGTGCAAGCTATGTGTGTATATTTCATTAACCCATATGGTCTCTTTTCTCATAATTCTCCTAAAATAACTAGTGTTGTTTTTGTATATCTATTGAAATAGTCTGGCCGATATTTCATGTTGTTAAAGAAGCATATATGCTTACCTGTATCATTGAAATAGTTTTCGCTGAAGTGCTGTGCGCGTCGTATTTCCCATTCCACAGCGCCGTAAGTGAAAACCTCAGTATCTCTTTTTCACATTTATCATGATACATACGTTATAGTAATGGTACGGACAAGTTATTGGCAGGCAATGAGTTTAGATAGAACTATCAGGTTCGCACCAGGCATTCCAGAGGCTTTACGCTTGCCGTATTACGGAAAATATATTGCGTTTGTTTGTATCCTGTGGCAGGCTGTAAATCTCATCATTTAAAACAGTTGTAGCATTCTACGTGTCTATGAGAATGAAAATCAGTACCAAAATACCTCAACTTCTACATCGCCGTATCGATTTAACTGATAATCCACGTCACATTGTTTATATATTGGAAAAGGCCATACATATCTTTATTTGATAACAGCTAGACTTAATTAATGGCAAAAAATAATTATACAGGTGATGATAAACTTGAACACAGAGTTCGTATATGGGAAAATATCACTAACACGCGTTTTAGTAACTTAATATAGTTTTATATTTTAAAAGGTTATGAATGCTCATCAAAATAACAAACGGTTATTTTGATACGAGAAAGGGTTATCGGTAAAAATATTAAGAACTAAACATTGTTTGTCAACGGAAAGTGTAAAATTATAAACATGAAAATATCTAGACATGGTTAGGAAATATAATGTAAAAATCATAAGAGCTATTGTAATATGTTGGCGGTGAACGAGGTGGCAAATGAAAGAAGTGACATCATATCGAGCTTTATTTTGTATATGCCAAAAAGTGTATCTAAGTCAGTTAACAACAAAGGTTGTTATGTAATACACTCTAATTGGAAAGAGCCACTGATTGATATAAGAAGAAACTAGACAGTGTTCATGTACAAGAAACTGTAATTAATATACATCAAGTGCTATTTAGGGCGTCTACGATCTTCACTGTAGATGAAGTGTATGTTATTTTGATATCGAATTCCCCAGACTCTGCTTCTGCTGTGTGTACAATAATTGCAAAGGAAAATGCTTAACAGCTGAATGCAACTGAGGCACATCCAAACTAAAAGTGAATTGAAGTTTTCATGGCTATTTGCGATACAACAGATAGATTGAAGTTACATATATAACATAACTTACCTTGCTACACTTGTTGGGGATGAAAATAACCATACGCCAGAAAACAGACTCTTCCTCTTAGGATGTTGCTTCTGTCTTGCCTAACATTCGCTATAGGTGGCAGATATGAAGAAGGGTCACGTGGTCAACACTTCACCGGAGATGTACTTTATGTTATTGCACTTGAATTCCACTGAGTGGTCTGAGCAACATTATGTAAAACACATTTCATGGACGTGTCTGTCCTGGTCACGGCTTCGCACATTATGCATTATGTAACAGCTGTACTACACAGTCCATTCACTGCAGGTGTAATAACGATACACCTGTAACCGTTGATAGTTGAAGATCGTGTGTAAATAATTATAACCATCATATAGATTGTAACATATTAATTCCCAGAGGTGTATATATGCAAATATGTCTGATAGATGTGGATAACTTGCCTTTCTGTGTTAAAACCTGAACTTCATTTTGCATCCTTTTTTCTCTTTAAAGTTTACCACCTGTCGTTTTACCTAGGGAACATTTGATTCATCTGCGACGGATTCCATCCTCAATTACACATAGCCAATATACACATATGTATCATGACGCATTACCTTTTAGATTTGCAGATTCGACCCCAGTATTTTGTACATGCCATTTAAATAGGAAAACATCAGAATGAACTGCCTGCCCATGGTATAAACAGACAGCTGTATATCGATAGTATGCGCGATAAAAAAAGGACAAATTAAGGTAAAAGCGAAACCACTGCCTGCATTTTAGTCTAGCTATAAATTCCCATATCATATGTCATATATATTTGGAGCGGGGCACGCGTATACAAAGCATGGTTAGCTTAACCAGGAACCAGTTATAACACTGTATTACGCATATTGTATATATTTAATTCAAAAACTAACATATATGTATATATATATTATTTTAAAGTTTAAGGAACATCGGTGATTTTAATTTTTACGCAATGCACAATTAAGCTAAAAGAATTTGTTCGAATAAATAAACCGTCACTTTTAACACGATATTCCGTCTTTGCGTATTGCAGAGTTATCTTCTCTTGGGAGCAGGTATTGATTGTTACGTCATTTGTTTGTGAGAGTAACGTCATCAATTTTTGAGAAAACGACGTAATTTTCTCACACGAACCAATGACGTAACAATAAATACCTGCTCTCAAGAGAAGATAACTCAAAGACGGAATTTACATTCTTCGTGTACAAGTACCGAAAACTGTCCATGTCGATTTACGAGAGCTAAAATACATGAAATTTGTAATCAAAAATTTCAAAATCCTGGATTTTGTAAATAGATCACTATTCTATATAAACAATACACAAATTAAATTTCAATGTGTAGAATCACAAGTAGTAAACAAAGTATATGTTTACTTAAACAACATGTTCCCGTTAACTTATTGTTCCAGTTTGGCCGATACGAACTAGCCGATTCGCTAAATGGAATCCGACGTTCTGCACAAACGAGCCGGTTTGTCGAGAACTTCTCATAGGAGGATACCAAGTATAATTTATAATATAATTATATAACTTTATCGACTCCAGATTACAGCTCTGTAGAAAACTTGTAATTGAAAACGGTAATCCGCATTGATTCAAGGATTTTACGATAGAGCCGTTAAGGTTGATTCCATATTCTTTACTGGCTTTCCTAATGGGTTATTAGATTAGATTAGCACATGCAGGATCATACTTTGAAACGCGCTGTTCCTTCCACTGGGAAGTTCCGCTGAATGGATTGAATTTTTACAAATATATATTGATTTTGCGTCTGCAGAAAAGTACAGCATCGAAAACCAAACGGGATACAACTATAAAAAACAAACTGAAGGGGCATAAAAATCCACCGAAAAACAGTATCTAACCCACAAAAATCGGAGGCCAAACCGCGTCCTCTTGAAACGTCAATGTTTCCTGTGTGTACTTTCATTATCCATAGAAAATACTTAAACACATGATGTGTTATATCAATTGTTTCGTAGGAATAATATAACGGGTAAATAAAGTAGACCGAGGGGAATTAAACAGTACAATACATTTGTCTGGACATTGTTGAAGAGAACATTCCATCGCCGATTGTGCGTTATTTCTGAAGCGTTTGTAAAGGCCTATTTCCTCTATATGTTATAACATTTAATTACTGTAATGTATATCTTATAATGTTAACCATCTAGCCATATGCCCCCTGACACATACATATGTAATAGATGCCACTTTTCCAGGTGCATCATCTAGGAGTCAAACCAGGACTAGTTAAATGCTCTACCGAATACCAAGCAGATCGCCGAGGGTGGTATGGACATTGGGTCCAGATATGCAGACTGTTTCTTTCATATATATGGACCTGATAGATTTGACCCACTCAGAGACTTTATCCAATTAACAGCGATAGTCTACAACCAAGAGTGACGATATCCCTTTCTGGTTCGCTATAAATCCGGATTTCCAGCACCTACGGTACAGTATTTACATGAACAATTCCAGTAATTTAATATCCACAGGCTTACTGACTAGATCACGATGTCTGTGATTGACAATACCGAGTTTTGGGAGATACAGAGAGATGAACAGGCTTACCGACTAGATCCCGATGTCTGTGATTGACAATACCGAGTTTTGGGAGACACAGAGAGATGAACAGGCTTACTGACTAGATCACGATGTCTGTGATTGACAATACTGAGTTTTGGGAGATACAGAGAGGTGAAGACTATGGGTTAGTTTTGTGGTTGCCATCTTGATTTTGTTGCGATTTGTTTTACTTCCATGTGTGGTATAAATTTCGACCTGTTTGGAATTTCTTACACTTTGCGGTTTCATTGAATTTTCCTGGATCGTGGCGTTACTTTGATTTTACCTACATTAACACCTGCATGTTGATGAAGCAAGAAACGAATTAATTCTTCCAGAACACCTGGTTTTATCTATCCCTTTATATTTTCACTCGTATCTCGTGTAATCTTATCTGCCCTAGTTTTATCGATTTTGAATTCAAATTACGGTTTTGTGTATATTTATTTAGGGAGAGATTCATTTCAGTTTCACATTTATATAACGCTGTATAAGATTATGACATTTAAAGTCACAACCAACAATTTTTGACAAACAAAACGGCTTTAATTGATCTGTCTATCATGTTATATGGGGCAGAAACATGTCGATTCTTTGTTTATATGAAAATCTGTAGTCATGCCATGAAAAGACTACGAATAACATGGTAAGAGATGCTATTAATTTTACATGAGTAGTATAATAACATATGATTACTGTCGACCGCCTGGTTCTGACTTGAGGAATTTGAGTAACATCCCAAAACTGCGCCATTGTAATTAGTTAAAGAGGCGTTGTCCCTACCAACATAAAACCCAAGTTAATGCATTTTTTTCTACAAGAAAAAAATGAAAACGATTAAACAGGTATGAATGGATATTAGTGTCATTTAAACTCAAGTTTTGCATCAATAATTGGGACAATGTCTCTCTTAGATAGTAAAAAAAATAGCAAGTAAGAAAACACAACAAATTCTTCAAAGGAATAGATCTTTATTAGTAAATGTGAAAATAAAACGTATTAAATTAACTTCAAAAAAGTATTTCAAGCTCTGAAGGCATTATAAAACAAAATTCTACCTAAAACCGTAAGGTTACTTCTTCCTGATTGAAAACCCAAGCTACTTGTATTGGAGTTCATCAGTATACACATTACTGGAATATATACTACATTTCCATTGATGTTTGAATCTTTACTGCCCTACGTTAATCACGTTACAGATTCTACAGTATTCTCTATACATCTACCAGGATAAAGCATTCTGTTACCGTATACAAAACTAATATGTTTTTTTCTGTATTTAATTGAAGAGTGTCCAGGACGGATTTGACTGCAACTAATGGTTAATTTAAAAGGCCAAATCAGCAATACGTAAACATTTGTTTATCTCAACTAGTACGTAAGTACATGTGACAATGTCATGTCAGGCGCAACATCGCTCACTTTTCGATGTTTATAATATAACTTCAACGCGTAAACCTTCGGATACATAATTTATATAAAAACTAAATTTAGATATATATGTACTCAAATTAATTAAATAATGTGAATTGCACATGTATTTGATTTGTTTTTGTAAACAAACGTATAAGCAAAGTAGTAAAAAGGGAAATAATTGTAAGATTTTATAAATAGCAATTGAGTATAGTTTTGAAACTGCCAGACATCGTGATGTTATAAAAAAAAGATAATATAATAGCACAAAATCAGATTGTTCAAATCAATGAGCAAAATATTGTATAAACGTACTAAGGTTATAGAGTATATGCGTCCATTTGTACATCGGTGAAACCTTAACATCCATTTCCTGTGTAGGAAGGGGGGTATAAGGGATCTTTATATCAGACCTGCAAGTTTTCTACTCGTATTAAAAACAAAAATGCGAAACGGCAGATTTTACAACTCATCGGAATCCTTAAATTGAGAAATGTATTGATGTTTGATGTTTAAATATGCCGATTTCTATAGGGAAACTTTTTAAAAAAGAATTGGCTTCAAGCTTTTTTACGTCAGAAAGATAACCGTTAGAGATGTATAACTCGTTTTCTATTGCGTAAAAGGACGGAAAATACAGAGAAAAAATCTACTCTGTATGTTGAAGATTACGGAAAATCTGTAAAACGTTCTCAAAATAAACGTATGAGCTATACAAAAATAATATAAGTATAGTTAACATGTTATAACATTTATAAATACACAAAATATCACAGAACAAATATTTGAGAGGTATGATGTTAACTTATAGTCAACGATTATTTGCTGTAAATAAGCTTCCAAAAAACATAATGTGAGCAAAACAACGTTATGATACCAACGGGTACAATAACAGCATGTACACTGTACATAACACAACAGGAGGTAAAAGATCAGACAAACAGCCTGTTCCGACTGTGCCATTTTATACATACTGCATACAGTTTTGATTTCGTAGTTTAATATTTTCAAGATGATGCAAGAAAATACAAACCCAAGCAGTGGTGAATATTGTGATTTCTGAGACTAAGAAAACAGTATATATGTACTGATTTCACCACATTCGTACACTGAAGTAAAAAGATGATTTTTTACCTATTTTCTTCGTGGATTTTATCTGCACTGATACTAAAGTAGAAGACATGAACAGTTTTGCATATCGTTTATGTGTACTATTCGCACCATCAGAACAGGATATGACGGACATCCATAGACAACACTGAGGTGGCTACCCATTGTGATTGCAAATGTATTTCCTAGAAAAAGGTTTTGTACAAATTAGTGTTTGAAACCCTTAAAATAGCATCGTATGAGCGTACACATTTTTAATACTGTATCAGTGACTCGAATGCATGAACGCTTCATATAGAGACGTGAATTATAATGCAAGTTGTCAATGTTAAGCAGTTAAAGCGCGGATGAATACATCGCAGTGTAAAAATTCCGCGAAATGTCACGTAAAGGTACTAGACAGATCGGACGAGATAGAAAATTGCATCGTAGACGATATATTACGGACAACATGTATATTCAAATAGACAGAAGCTTTCAAAGCCTTTCCCATTTTTCACACCTGCCAATACACCGTTAGATAGCGAGATGAAAACATTGATGGATTTACCAGCATCAGCTAGTTTATGTGCCTTTTGATGTTGCAGAATACAGATATTTCACGTATGAGTGAATTGGCTGTTTTGAATTCAAAACGACATACCGAAAACAAAAATAAAATGCAACCCTGCTATCCGTAATATTTTTGTTTCGAAATATTTTTCGAACATATCATGATAAAATGAAAACTCAGACATCTATCGAATATAGTATTGTATACATGGATAATGATTACAGGACATTTTCTCAGCCTTTTTATTTTTGCTGATATTCGTGGTAAGACGATTCAATGAATTCAACACTATGGTGAAGATAGCATCTCATAACTCATAACCAACAGTGCAGGCATTTGTTTTTTTCCACATAAAAATAAATTTAACACATATGAAATCAAAATTGTATGCAGAAATTAGAAATATAAAATAATAATGAATAAAATAGTACCCAAAATGTAATTTAACAATGAAAGACTTTAGATAAAATAATCTAAATGAGGACTCTCTGAATAAACTTTGCCGAAATAGTATTTCAAGTAAAAGGCTCAGAACTACATTGCAACCATGATTTCCAAACAGTACCGTGATACATATGAAGGTAAATACAAAAAACTACATTTACATGAGTCGTTTCTTAACAGTGCAGCACGCTTTTTGCTTGTGTTTACGTCCTATCATCAGCTATGGTCATTTAAGAAAGCCGGAGTTACACGGAGAAAACACACCGACCTACAGCCAGTACCTGGCTATTGCCCCACGTAGGCCTCGAACCCGCGACTTAGTGGTAGCAGAATGTCAACAACTGATGTTTGCATTGCATGAAAGCAAGTACGTTCAACCCATATTCACATATATTTACAGAAAATGTTATTTGCTACGAATACAAATAAAATTACAAATAACAACAATAGAGTAGCAAATCATCAAAAAAATATACAACATAATCCAAATCTGCTTACACAAAATGTGCATGTGATTGTCAAAAATCTGGTACATACAAAAAGTACATACAAAAAGAACTTTCTTAATGCTGACAGGTATTTGGTGTACTAGACATTACAGTTAGGACATCGAACTTTTATATTTCGATATATTTCATGAACAACCAAATTCGTTAAAAAAGGTTTTGGATCGACGAGATTCCACTAACACATTCATGTTCAAATTAGACTATGTGACAGGGACGATATATTATAATATAAAATGACAGTGATTGTCATTAAACTACAAAAAATGAAGCTTGGACTAACAAAGATGTCGGATTAGATTGGGATAAATTGGAGACCGATTAAGCTTTTATTTTTTCCTTCTTGTTTTCTCCTGCAGTCTTATTATCGTTCACGTCGAATGGAAATCTTAAAAAAGTCCTCTTTCATTTCGTATCAATGATTACATACCGAACAGGTAAAAGCATTACAACTGTAAAACGCTATTATATAATAATAGACACAACACATCCACTAGTGCACAGCAATTTATCTATGTCTACTTCATTTTTTTCGGTCTTTGCCTAAAACAACAGTTCAAAGTGACGATTGGGGAGATCTTTGACGTTAGACTAACAACGTCGTTAGGTTAGTCAAACAGACTTAAACTATAAGCATAGCGTCACATAAGGAAAAGTCCTCTGAATTACAATCAAGACGATTTAATTTGATCTACGAATGAGTCTTTAAACCTTGTCAAGTCGTAGCCAAATTTAATCTATGTATATATCATTTACACTGTAATTGCAAAACTCTGATGCTAAGTATGTATTACTCAACATTTCCCACCTCCTCGTAAGCTTCCTTAGCAGCTTTGGTGTCAGGGTGCTCTGCACCCAGGAAGGAGAGAAAGACGTTGTATGACTCCTGTAGTTGGTATTTAGCCCTAGCGAAGTAGTTGGTAGCGAAGTAAAAACTTCCCAGGTTGTACCTGTAATTACAATAAATGCAAACACGCGGTTAATACCGAGTAATATGTTCAAGATTTATATTGTCACATATCATTGTAAAACGTGGTTAAGACAATTAAATATGCAACTCACCTTGTGCAATGTCAAAGTCAAACAGGAACTGTCGCATGCGTGTCTTTTTCTGATTTCGAACTGGTTGGGGGATTTAAATTGATAATCAGGATCATGAGAATGGCCTAATTGTACTTGGTTATTCTGACAAGGTAAGTTCTGAGGACATAACTGTAACATGTTATACACATCTCAAAATGCCAACGAATATAATTGTCTGATGATGTAAAACGATATTCGTCTCATATCTAGTCTAGTAGGTCACCAAAAACACAATAAAGTAAATATCGTCGAGACTACATCCAGTTTTGCTGCCTTATAAATTGAAAGGTCGGGTCGGTTAATTTCGTGGAATATGTCGTTCAATAAAAGTAAGCATTCCAATTAATCTTACATTGATAAAACAGAATAACTACTTCCTTTACATCCTCGCTAGGCTGCGTTGGTAGTATTACCTCTTGTATGGATTGGATGGAAAGTATTGATCCTGTAAACTTCCACGATTGGTTTAATAATGACATATCCGTCTCCAGACTGCGTTTGTGATGCCACTGCCAATTAATCGGCCGTGTAATAATATATGCAGTCTTTGTAGAGCTGCAGGTAACCATAATAGCGACAGACAACTAGTTCCCACAAACCTTTGATCTGCCACATGTTTGTATTCATCTTTTGCTTTGGGATTAATCACCAAAGGAACTTGGTCTTGTTACCGCTTTTTTATAATTTTATTTTGTAAGTGCATTCACTTAAGATTAAACGACAGACAAGCACTTCGAAGAGCTTCAACAAAAATTAGAATAAAGCTTCTATCATAAATGCATGTTTCTAAACCAATGATCTGTTAAGATCACCCTGCTTAAATACACGTTGGTATTCATTCCTGTCAGATACATTAACAAATTAAACACACAAGTGAAATACATATATACATAAACAAACAAAAAATACTTAAAAAAATATTGTTAATCATACATATACCCCGCTCCCGCCTAAATGGAATTGAAGCTAAATGCTAAGTCTGAGTGAAGACAGTGAAGCAGAAAATATAGGTTAGTGACCTACTTATCATATAACTGTGTAGTTCTCCTTAAGATTCACATTTGTATGTACAATCAGAGTAATGGAGCTAAACGCACGGTCAGCGAAGCGGTGAATATAGGTCACTGTGATCTACCTTACGTTAGGATCTATCTGTATGATAGTCAGGATTTTAGATCAGAGAAATGAAGCTAAATTCAACGTCCAACCAAGATGTCAAACGTATGGACCGACGAAAAAGGCAAACACTAAAACCCCCTCCTTCTCTTACGTGACGAGAGTATAAAAATCGTTAATTAGAACGTCGATTTTTATGTAACTTGGAACATCAAGTGCACAAAACATGAAACAAGAGATCCCAGACCGATCTTGGCGCCCACATTTGTACCATCTTCATTAGTTCTTTGTCAGTTCAATCTTTTCTCTTCTTTCCTCTAATCTGTTTGATCGATTCATGTTAACAGTAAATGCCCCTTGAGGTAACTTTTGATCTAAACTTAATACTGATGTGTATGAAAGCCAACCTTCAAAGAGAGTTTGTCATTTCACATATTTACTAGTACAGTATATAATGTGAAAGAAATAGAATCGATCATTGCTATATGAGAAAGAACTGCTTAATTCTTCTTCTAATCTTTTTTGTTTTTATGATCAGTCTCAAAATATAACATGCACAATGAGGGATCAAGGGGAACCTACATATAAAATTTTAAAAAGATCCCTCAAGTACTTCCGGAGAAATAGCGATAACAAACTTTCACTATCAAAATCCAAGATGGCTGCCGGTCGGCCATGTTGTTTATCCGATCAGTCTCAAAAGTTGCAAAGGACCAAGGGGAACCTACATATAAAATTTGAAAAAGATCCCTCTGATACTTCTTGAGAAATACCGATAACAAAAATTGTTTAAGGATGGACGACGGACGGCGGTCGACGGACAGACGACAGACCACAGACGCAGGGTGATTTGAATAGCCCACCATCAAAGGAACTCAAACAAGTATTTTAAGTGGTCTCTTCAAAGTAAGTTCAGTTACTCTTATATGATTGCTTCTCTGCCTTAGAGGAGCCGTCACACCTATCGGTAATGTTTACCTGTCGAGCAGTATGTCCGGTTTGATCGAAACAACCTGTGTGTGTGCAATGCATATAGAGCAATGCGCTGGAGGTATGGCAAAAAAATGGTCATTCAATCTATGAGGCAGGTTACATTTTCCTACGATTAAGAGATGATTTGGTATTCAAAAGCTTTCTCCAAATATCATGATTTCCATGAAAAGTGTCAACTGCTGAATGACAAATTTATAATACATGCCATATACACGTTAATGGAGACTGCGGGCACGTTTTAAAGTTAGTTCATTATCACTAACCCTGTCCTAGCTTTGAGTACGTGCCATTTCTTCGATCCGACATTGTTTCACATGACGCTTACCCATCTGGAACACATGGTCTTATTATCATTGTAGTTTATTAAGGGTCTCTATGTAAATATTCCCTTTTTTCAGGATTTGATGGGAAACACCATACTGGTACCACATGTTGTGCAGTTGTCTCCTCACTTCATATTATATTTTCACTGTATTTTGATATATAATTGTGTCCCTATGATTTTTCTTTACCTAATGAGTACAAATCAGTCTTCTTGTTATACAAAATACAAAGAAATGAGATCAGGACAGTAATGAGACAATGTTGTGCTTGTAAACTGTAACTACATCAAAATCAACTGACTTTGATGGATTTACTTTTGATCTTACATCAACAAATACCTAGAAAATATTTAGCTTTTTCGGATTCATACTTTATATCTCTTAAATTTCCACTGTTCTTTGTCGTGTCATGTCGTATATATAACAGTTTGCAATCATTATTTTTTGTGTTTTACAATTAAACACATATTTTTTAGAATCACACATACAGTACATCAGGCAAACATGACGAAGGTAAAAAGGATTTTTACAACGGGGGACAACAAGATCATCAAACAAATAGTTCAAAACTGAGATAACACTTCAACCAAGTTGCAAAAGAAAAAGGTAATATACATGTGTATGAAATATCAGAATGTTATATATTTACCTTTTATTTCAACACTTACAATGTATATAGAAAATAAATTCAGTTAAATTATTAAGAAGACAAACAGAACAGTTTACCGTTAAATTATATAATTAACATTACGATTACTTGATAAATATTGCAATGCCCAAGACACACAATTAATATACAATTAACTTCATGTTTAATTCGTGACGGAGACATCACTACTTATACATCTGTAGTGCCATTTGCTTCGAGTAAACTGGAAACATTGTCCTTAACTATATGGCATACACTAGCATATAAAGTACCTAATTGTCAATAACCAAAAGTAGCTTTCAGAAACTTCATTTATAATAGAATGAGTAATCTTTAGATTTTTTCAAGGGCATATATTTAGAAAGAACGTTAAATTTTAAATAAAAATCACAAGGTGTTGGATACACATTTTCTCTGTTAAAGGGTAATTAACTGTAATTTCTTTGTTTTCTAAAAATGTACTGTTTCAGTATGTGAACAATGCTACATGAGTATAGCCTTTTTTACCAACTGTACCTGACATATGTTGTCAATTTTTAAACTTAACTAGCTTAATCATTGACAGCAATTTGAGTAAGGCCTGACCAATTACTAATGCACAGTAACTATAATTAACTTTCATATAAAGATACCAATGATTTCATTAAACTACTATAATGTCTGGCGTATGATGAAAATGATAAATCATAATTAATATATAGCCTAATCATAGTTAATGTATAGCCTAATTAGTAATTTATCATTTCAACTGCTACTACAAACCCCCAATAGTGTCAAAGAAAGTACACAAAACATATACAGGTTATTGTTGTTGTAAAATACAGTAAGTCAAAAATAAATTACACAGCACCACACAGCTGATTCATCCTTTATGTCTCATAGCTGATACAAGGGACCATAAATAAGGAAATTCTAATTGGTTTAAACTACTGTTGAAACAGAAGGGTAGGTGTAATATAATAAGCCTACAGATCTCTGATATTCTTCCGACACGGCATCAACCACATCACTTCTAGAAGATCCCATTTGAACCTCCAAAACAGGTAAAACATTAAAGAAAACTCAATTCTTTCAACTATGGATCAGTTGCATCAATATTATGCCCAAAATAAGCCTCCATTTCAAAATATTAGCAGGTTAGTAAAAGTGTTTAATCAATGGTAAGTTTTCACTTAAATATCCTGAAAAACTCTAACCCTTCCGCCGAAAGGTAGGATTAAAACTATTATAACACATAAATGATAGCGTTATACATAGGTAGTTCATAGGATAAATGTTTCTACACTTGACACAAAGTGGAGAATCACGTGACTAGTTATGATAACCTGCAAGTCAAAATGGCGAAAAAACATATTGCCTCGGAGGAAAGATATTTGGTGAGATGTATTATATCACATGAAGAAAGTGGCAATAAAGCCATATCCATGCGTAAATATGTTAATATACCATAATATTTACATTCTGTATGCTTAGACCCATTGACAAAAATTACATTCATAAATGCATAACACAGGTGTTCATAGAATCTCAGCACGTGGGAACTGATAGTAACCTGATCACACTGCGTAGTAATACACTACAAAAACTACTCACTCGGAACGACCGAACTAGATGCTTAATTCTTACATCTTAAAATATTATTGAACTGTGCTTTGTGAAATATCCACGTATTCACGTGTCCTGTGCTACAAATAAACATTGAATATGGAACTACATTTTGTTGTGTTATTGTTGTTGACGGTTGCTAAGATCTCTCACGATAGTGTCACATTTCCCCGCGAAAAAACACTGTTCTCGCCACTGCGTTGCACCCGTGTATAAGCAGGAACAAACCCTGTTTATTTGTTTTATTCGTTGTTATATCGATCCACTGAAATGATTCGTCAATGTAAATATAAGGAATGATATTTATTTTTTCAACATTTATGAGGTCATAACAACAATGGGTTTTTGGACATATTTTACATGAATCGCGAACGCGATTCATTCAATATGTCCATAAACCCATTGTTGTTATGACCTCATAAATGTTGAAAAAATAAAAATCATTCCTTAAACATTCATGAATCAGTTGCAGTTTACATAAACTTTCGTAGGTTACCCAAACACATAAATGCGATATATTTGATATGATTTGCTCTGATTAACTGTAGAAATTTGGAGCATTAAATATTAACAGTTTGATTGTAATGATACTTATTGTTAAGTCTTTTTGAACAATGTAAACTATAGCTATATAGTGCAATGCAAATATAATCTACACAGCCGTCAAAGAAAAGCATGCCATCTGTTCCTCTAGTTACATAATGACCAAAATACAACACAAAGTTGAATTGCAAACAATTCAGTATTTATTTTTTCTGACCATTAAAAACGTTTGCTATGGCAGGATTTAAAATCGGACAAAGGAAATTGTTATCATACGGTTCTGGTTGTATGTTTGATATTATTTTAGTAGTCAGATCATCTAAGGTAAGAGATCCAATTTGATCAGTTGAAGGAACGTTGAAATAATATCATGAACAATGTTTGTTATGAACAATGTGTTTTACAATTGCGTTTCACAATACTTTCGAGTATTGACAGTGAATCTGAGAAGATCATTTTGTTCTCTTTTATCTGAAGCCAGATTAGTTTGGTTTGTTCAGATGTAAAAATAAGGACATTAGTCAGGAAACGGAAAGGGGACCTGCTGTCGTTACTCTCTACTTGACTTCACAGTTGTCATTAAATAGCAGTGTATGTGACAGAAATTATGAGATGAAACATATGCGATCGGCAGTCATAATGATGCTATTCAAGGAAATCTTCCCAAATATGAAGCATTTTTTCTACCTGATATTTCACCCACATTAATCATAGTTTTGCAAAAAAGACCATTTCGTTGCTGTCTTGTTTTTTCTAGAAAAAAACACTGATACCACATGACAGTACGGTATCAAATGCTGTAATTCGAGGAAATCTTCCCAAGTATATAGAATTAAGTAAAGCTGTAATTTGTCAAGAAACTAAGAATAGCATCTACTTATTTCCAGTATTTACAGTTTCTAGGCCAGAAGTCAACCAGATATTTCGAAAAACATAATCACTCACCTGACGACAGCCACTTCTACATGGGAGTGACCATATGTGTCCAGCAGCATAGCCAATGCCGTCTCATAGATCTGACCAGCCAATGGGTCATTTCGGCCGTCATAGACTACAGCAATGTCGCTGAGGATGCCGGCAACCCTCGGGTGAGTCATACCAACATCACTGCGGGTCAGTTTGAGGTCCTGGAGGAAGTAGCCTACTGCCTTGTCCAACATGTTCTGGCTGTAGGACAATTCACCAAGCTGTGGGTAAATAAGTCACAGACATAGACTTAGACATATTATATTTAGTCTAAAATGACTTTATATTCATCCAGCAGCTTTGAATCCACTCAATGTATTCATCTAGCTGTCGGACATATGAACCATACCTTAGACTTTTAATACACATACAGCATTGAATTAACTCAGTGAATTTTCACATTTCTTCTGAACGATATGCCCTTCAAGTAAGTAAGAATAAGCCTATGAAAGACATTGCCATGTAAATTGTTAATTGTTCAAACTACAACAGCTTATTTGGAAATGTTCCATAAACACAACGAGTTATTATAAGACCTTGTTGTTTATATTTAGGGCATTCAGGCAAAACCAGAAAGATTGCTCTGGTATTGATAACAGTCAAACACATGTAAATAGTAATATTTGAGTTTTTAGGGATTTATATAAATGAACTCTGTACAAATGCCATCCCCACTCATGGTATATACGTTTAAACATCTCACCTTATTGTAGATGGCTGCCACATAGTGGTGGTTATGTCCGAGGACATCGGTGGCCAGCTCCAGACAGCGTACTAACAACTTCTTAGATTCCTTCTTGTTCTCTTGAAGGTTGTACACAGTAGCCAGACCCAATAAGCCCTCACAAAGCTGGGAAATACCATTTTTAGAATGCTTATAAGTAAATATACATAAAAAGTACTGCTGAGGAAAACAGTGGCTGGTGATTTTGTGTATCACATACATACAGGTAAGTAAAACAGTATACATTTGTATTGGACATTAAGTGTATACCTAGTGATTGGCAAGCAAGACCATCAAAACCACAAAACTGCAAAACACAGAGAATGGTCAGTTAGTGCATCAAGTATATACAGCTAAGGAAATACAGAGAATGGTCCGTTAGTGCATCAAGTATATACAGCTAAGGGAATACAGTGAATGGTCAGTTAGTGCATCATGTTTATAAGCTAAGGGAACACAGAGAATGGTTAGTTAGTGCATCAAGTATATACAGCTAAGGGAATACAGTGAATGGTCAGTTAGTGCATCAAGTATATACAGCTAAGGTAACACAGAGAATGGTCAGTTAGTGCATCAAGTATATACAGCTAAGGGAACACAGAGAATGTCCAGTTAGTGCATCAAGTATATGCAGCTAAGGGAACACAGAGAATGGTCAGTTAGTGCATCAAGTATATACAGCTAAAGGAACACAGAGAATGATCAGTTAGTGCATCAAGTATATACAGCTAAGGGAACACAGAGAATTTCCAGTTAGTGCATCAAGTATATGCAGCTAAGGGAACACCGAGAATGGTCAGTTAGTGTATCAAGTACATACATCTAGGATATACAGTGATTGGTCAATTAGTGTATCAAGTACATACAATGATTGGTCAATAAGTGTATCAAGTACATAACGCTAGGAAATACAGTGATTGGTAAATTTCTGTATTAAGTACATACATCTAGGAAATACAGTGATTGGTAAATTTCTGTATTAAGTACATACAGTTGGGGAATACAGTGATAGGTCAATTTGTGTATCAAGTGCATACAGCTAGGGAATACAGTGAATGGTCAGTTAGTGCATCAAGTATATACAGCTAAGGGAATACAGTGATTTGTCAAATAGCATATCAAGTACATACAATGATTGGTCAATAAGTGTATCAAGTACATAACGCTAGGGAATACAGTGATTGGTCAATTTGTGTATCAAGTGCATACAGCTAGGGAATACAGTGATTGGTCAATTAGTGTATCAAGTACATACATCTAGGAAATACAGTGATTGGTCAATTACTGTATCAAGCACATACAGCTTGGGAATAGAGTAATTGGTCAATTTGTGTATTAAGTACATACATCTAGGATATACAGTGATTGGTCAATTACTGTATCAAGTACATACAGCTTGGGAATAGAGTAATTGGTCAATTACTGTATCAAGCACATACAGCTTGGGAATAGAGTAATTGGTCAATTTGTGTATTAAGTACATACAGTTGGGGAATACAGTGATAGGTCAATTTGTGTATCAAGTGCATACAGCTAGGGAATACAGTGATTGGTAAATTTCTGTATTAAGTACATATACAGTCGAACCTCGTTATCTCAAAGTCAATGGGCGCTATATAAATGTTGTATATTATGGGAAAACTTCAGGCGGGTTCAAAAATTTGGTATGAAATGCTGTTGGACATATAGGACTTACAGTTGTTGATTTTATTAATAACTAATGCTTATAATCAATCGATGAATGATATACGTAATCAATATAACAAATACAGGTATGTAATTTTACAATAAACATGCGTAGAAAAATACTGTAAAGTAAGTTATTTCCTAAAAAACGTATTTTCGTTTAACGCGATCAAAACAGTTGGACCATATTGTGAATTCGTTATTAAATATGGACGGGCCTAGTGATTAAATGTTGTTTTTGGCTAGTCTAGACCTTGGCAAAGTCTTTCCATGTCTGCATTTGCATTTGCAAGTCCGTCAAGTTTTACTTCTGAAGTGTTAAATTTAAAAATCGAACTATCCCACTGTCTCCGTCCTCGTTCTATACAATGCAGAAATGAAAGTGTGCAAGTCTTCAATAAATCACTGTAACGGAGCGTACGCATAGTTAATTCTGTGAATAAAAACACACCCAAACATATTATATCGTACATGTAACACATTGATTCATTAAAGCTAAATGTGACACCTGACACCTCCTCAACTCGATGTATACGTAATAAACAGCAATTATTGTATTGTTCTTAAATTTCTCGATCAACTTTCAAAGCCATACTGGCTCCTGTAAAAACATGAACCTGTGAAGCTGTCTTAGGTTGTGACTTTAACTGTGGAACTCTTTTATGCATGACCACACTTTGCGATCAATTTCCAGGTTTGCACCGTAGTCTGTTTTGGTGTAAAAATCATTAAACGGACTTGCAGTAGGTACAGAATACTGTTGATCAACATTAATGAAGTTTGTTTTTTATCATAAACAACATGGTTTTGACAGTCTGCACACTTTACAGTTTGAAGCTTTATTGTAAATTCTTTTTACCGATTAAGTCTACTCGCGAAAGATGTTCATAAACATGGAATGGCGAGATGTCGTACTGTTGCATTTTATTTGTATCAAAAAATTAATAAGTGACAAAATGAAATTTGAACACTATGAAGTAGACAATGTTTTGATGTTGGATTTATGCTATTGAAACCAATATCTTACTTCGAGGTATCTGAGTTTTTCGACTTTTCAGGGTTAAAATTATCAGAGTTTTATTTACTAAGATAAAGAAGAGACTTGGCCGGGACTGGAGAATTACTTCGAGATAAACAGGGTCTTCGAGTTAAAAGAGTTCGAGATAAGGAGGTTCAACTGTATTTACATATGCACATATCAGTCATTTATGAAATGTATTAAGCACCCCCAGCCACATTAAACTATGAATTCGCAGCTGTGATTTCTTCTATTTTCTGACAAGACTTGGGAGTTGTCATATTTGGAAACAAGCTGTTACCTGTAATTTCTGACTGGGGGTCACAATCCTGTTTTGTCGACTGATGGCTTCTTTGTAATATTTCACTCCCGCCTCCAGTTCCATCTGTTTCTCACACACCATTCCCAGCTGATGGAGCGACTGTTAACAGAAGTTATATAACTAGTTAAGGTGTAACAAACAAGGCAAACTGATAACTTAGTTCAATATAGACTAAATTCATCACAGAGTTTGATGTGCGTGAGGTCCTTTTAAAAGCAAGCACAGAAATATAAGCAAAAATTCACAATAAGAATGTGTATACAATGTAGTAGACAGTGTGTTACTAAATGTTTGAAATATGCATCTCACTACTTACATATACATTTCATAAATAAAAAAATAAGAAAAAAAATGTCACATCAGCTTTTAGTATCTGTACATCTGCAAAAAGTACAATGAAAACTTTGGAACCTACAACAACCCGAGGTTTGTATCCCAACAAATATGGCTGATTTTTATCATATAGTTTGAAAGAAAATGCAAAATGGCCAAATTACCCTTATTTGGCCCTGTCCTCATGATAAGCTCCCTGCATGTGTAGCTGTAGGGGCTTAGCACTTCATATATTTTAAATATCAAATGAATATTGCCAAGCAAACTTGTTAAAACTCTCTTTTGTGGTTTGAAAAAAGTTGATGACAGGAGTAACAGGAGGCAAACACCACAGTATGGAATTATAGCTCAACATGATCCCGCTCATTTAATACCAGAACAAATATCACAGAGCATGTGTCTGGCAGAAGTAGTTTGGTTTGTTTGTGTTTTATGTCCTACTAACAGCCATGGTCATTTAAGGACGTGCCAGGTTTTGGTGTTGGAGGAAAGCAGGAGTTTCCAGAGAAAAAAACACTGACGTACGGCCAGTACCTGGCGAGTGCCCCACGAAGGTCTCAAACCTGCGACCCGGTGGTGGAGGGCTAGTGGTAGCAGAATGTCAGATGCCTTAACCACTCCATTGCGGCCCCCGGCAGAATTAGACAACCACTATTAGCTTAAAGAATGGAATAGCGCTAGAAATGGTATTCATTCACCAGCTGGTCAGCTGATCAAATGGTATTATTGGTAAATGAAAACACATTACACTCTACACGTATTGTAATGAGCATATGCTGTGCCATAAAGATGTGGTCTGATAAAGTTGAAATATCAGCAATGACTTACTTTGATGACATCCGGGTGTTTGCAGCGATAGTTCCAGTTGTAGGAATTGTTATTGTATACAACTGTTCCATGTGATATTGCATATCTTGCCTCGAGCTGTTCCAATAGCTGTTCATTCACCTTCCTACAACACAGATTAATACTATTATGTAAGTGAAATCAATAAATCTCTATGCTATTTTAATTATTTTTTTCAATGTTGAAGTAAATTGGTATTTTTTTTGTAATAAACACTACGTATACACTGGTAGAGTGATCGCCCAATACTTTTGGTGAAAAGGGAAGTAACTGGAGGAGGTGCATTCGGCTGTGGCCAACATTTTCAATACACATGCTGCAATATCTATTCTCAGCCATTGGAAAGGCTAATTCATGTTTTGAAAAGAATTGCTCATAATTGATTGCATGGGTTTGAATAATCTGAATAATCTCAAGCAAGGTCAATCATTTTGAAACATGCATGGTAGAGCAGAAACTTGATGGAAAGGATAGAAAGGATGACGGCTGTGTAACCATGGTTTTGGTAAATGGCATCATTTCAAATTAGAATCACTACATGTATGGTATAAAGAGACGTTGTGCATTGTAGATAGTTACAGATCTAGAGCACTGTTTCATCATACTTATTTGGCACCCCCAAAAATGTTAACTTACTAGAAATTGTTCAATTTGCTTAAAAGCAGCAAATGCAACAAGAATTTCTCACAATATCTTTTACTGAGCTGGGAGATAAGTTTTGGAATTACATCTGTTAAATATATTACTGAACAGCTTGAATATAAATTTTGCCCCTAACATGTTATTACTATGTATACTATAGTATGTTGTGCGTTTATTTTCACTGTCGTAAAAACCTCCCAGTGTACAGTATTACATCAAGTACAAAAATGTCAAGGTTTATTAGAATATGGCAGTGCTAAAATAAATTCAAAACACACCTAGATGCATTGAAGAGACCCAAATCTAGAAAAAAGTCGCCCAACAGGTCCAGCAGCTGTGTGTAATCATTCAAATGTTTGTCTTCCTCATTCACTTCATCCAATTTAGTCAAGTAGGCAACCTCTACCTGACTGTAGTCTCCAAGCTAAAAGGTCAAAGGTTGATATGTATAGACTTGTTACTGATTACAGACAATGCGATTAGAATGGCTATGTTGGGGTCCAATACCTAGTAATAAAATGACCCCTGATTTTTAACATTTTTACTTTTAAAGAAGATGTATGGATACTTTTGTCATTAATAAATAACACATGCATATAAAGTTTGACCAAAATAAAACTTGTGAAATTCAATTACAGTGTACATCAAACATAGACCCTAATTATCTCCCCTTATTTGAAAGTGTGGGGGGGGGGGATATATACACACTTCATTAATAGTTTGGAATTGGCGGTTTACTCACCAGTTGCCATGATTTGATGAGCTCAAATTTGCCATCCTCTGTCTTAGCCATTCGAGAGAAGACTTCAAGGTCACTGATGGTGTCTTTGAGTCGCTCCAGCTCTCCCGCCTTCCCGAGTAGGAAGGGCAGCTCATCCACCTGTTAACAACCACAGGCATATGAGTATATGGATGTGTCGATGTACACAAACTGTATATTTATCAACCAGAATTGTACGGATTGCCCGAAATTATCTGCCAAACTGTTAATTCTGAAAATATTTTATCCTTAACTGCATTTGTCTTCAATATTAAATAGAGTCAAACAATCCACGTAAAGGCACTGATCAGCTCTATAATCATTTTCTATGCAATTAAATTGACATTAAAATTCAAAATGACAGATTTTTCATGCAGGAATTCAACCTACTAGTAATTTACTTACAATCACACCAGGGTTCAATTGCTGATAAAACTCTAAATATCAAGATTTTAAAATTGAGAACAACTTTAATTATGGACTTCAATTTAATCAAAATTATTGACAAAGTCTGAGACTTATATTTTCAGCTTTTAATATTACAGTGTACATACCACACGTTCATCCAGACTTTTGGTGGAGAAATAGTCTGCCAGTCGTTTAAAACTCTCCTGTTTCTCCTCTGGAGTACTCAGGTACTTCTTCTCTACAGCCTGACGCAGGTGGTCATGGAAGAAATTTACGACACCATTGCGATTGACCAAGTTCTCCACCAATGAAAGATAGAAGGGAGACCACACTGCACTTGGCACCTGTCAACAAACAACATTAATGCCTTAATATGAGGCCCCATTTTCATACATGCCAATTAACCTTTTTTAAGTTTTTCCTTAACTTCAACAATACTTTCCTTTTGGCGGAGTTGAAATTTAGTAAAGTTTGGTGTCAAAAAATGAACAAAGGGCATTAACTCTGTTTAAGCAGAGGACAAGACCCAAATTCAGCGTACAACACTCTACAATTATAAAAGGTACTCCTAACAAAACTTTGACACTTGTAGGTGATGGAGCACATGAGATATATCCTGGCAGAGTAACTCAGTATAAGCAAAGGGCTATACCTCTGTATATATTGAGATACAGGTCCTGATTATAATATGTACACCACAACCCACCATCCTAAGAGGTACTCAGATACACTAGAGTAATCACAGGTGACAAGTGTAAGATATGCTCCAGTAAGAGTGATACACAGACTGACTGAAGGATGGAATGCAAACATATACAGTGGAACCCACTTATTATGATATCGGTTATGATATATATCGGTAATAAGGATATTTTCCCCATGTACCGATGTTTTCCTTCTGTAACTAAGCAAAAAAATATCGTTTATCATGATATGGTCAAAGGTAGGACCCCGCTTATTATATTTTTTTCTGCCGTGAATGGTTTATAAGGTTAAAACTCAGTTTAGTTGTCCGTGTGAAACACCAGGACAATTATGCAATATTTATTCATCTTTTTGTATTTATATTTTTCCACATTTTCACATCAATCTATGTCTGATTAATATAGGGCATCTCAATTCCGGTTCAGACAACATAAAAACGATCGAAAACAGCTTGATCGGTTATTATGATATATCGGTTATTCTAATATTTCTCATGGCAAATAGAATATCATAATAAGCGGGTTCCGCTGTAGTCTCATCTGGTAGAACCAACGGGAGACACAGAATGCGTCTTACATCTAGAAGCTCTGTCATCTCTCCCTCTGCCATTCCTCGGTGTGAACACCAGATAGCCGTGGTGGTGTCCTTCACAAGGCCTTTCCTGTTAAATAAAGCAGCATATTGTTTACAGTAACCACAGCAACTCTTCTTGATAATAACTTAACTGTAACATTAGAGAGAATGAAAGTTACATTTATTTATAGAGTTATTGGCCTTGAAATTGGAAAATGTAACTTTTTGTTCCCTTGATATTATAAACATGCCCATCAAAGGTAATAAACTTGTTATTTGTTTATGTTTCAATAACCAAGACTCAGATGTATGAAGAAATTATCAAATATGCCCATACACATATATATAGATATAAAATGGCAGACATGGAAATTTGATTATGATTGCATCAGTAAAATATGAAGTTTTGATATCATTTGTTTATATCATGTGATTTACCTAATCTCATCAGATGGGTAAGACACTGCTAAATAGATAAGGTATATAGAATGATTGTTTCTTTTCATTTCAAATCATGAAATTTAACTGACATCAAGTTAAATCGATTCTGCTTGACAAAGGCGGTTTTTGAAAGCTCACGAAATACCTTTCAATTCAAAACAAACTTAGCAAAGCTTATAAAGTAAAACCATTTGATAAACTAGATGTAACTTGAAGGGGGGCTTTCGTGAATACCCCCGCTTTGACTGATCAGGAATTGGTGGGAGTGATGGGCATGTGGATTGGAAGAATCAAGTGAAGAGTTTATATGCTGCAAGTCTCAAGTTACGTAGGACAGAGGTCACAGTGACCTACATATGGTACGCGACACACCACCTTCCATGCATGTACCCACAAACCAAGATTCATAACTGTAGGTGAAATAGTACGGGAGATATGCTCCGAAAACCTTTCAGACGGATGGACGCACGGACGGATGGACGAAGCAAACACTATATATGTGTCGAACTGGTAGCACAGCATGCTATCAAACGTATATACAAAAGATCTGCCACATTAGAACAAAACAGAATAAAAAAAAGCTGCTAAACAATCACAGGTAGCACAGCATGTTAACCATGTTACATAAGCTATGTCTCATCCACAACAAAACAAAATCATTTGTTAGTGTATTAGGTGGTAATTCAATCAAGAATGAAATATTCACCCATGACATTGCAGGCAAATAATATGATCACATGATTTTTTTTTATATAAACATGTTGTGATAATAGCCAGACCTAGATCAATAGTTCATGTACACTTACCACATGGTGAACGTCCACATAGTAATGCTGGTCACAGGTTAGTGAAAACAAAACACATGCAAAACACAAACAGGCTACATCAGAGAGAAAAAAAACAACAGAGTTACAAATAACTAGGCACTGCTGTGTACATTGTTTACCATAGATCAGTATGAGAAATGTCAATTACCACTAATGCACCAAATAATTAGTGAGCCAAAGTTTCTTAAAATATCTAATTGAGTGGAATCTGTTACCAGTTGGGGAGATTTTACAGAATATCAAATAATTGGGTTTCTCACATATAATTTGTATTTATTATTTCATAATGTTATGCCTTACAAATACACTGCTATTCTCATCATCTACAAATCTGTAGCACTTTTCTTTAAGAAATATATTTTGATATAAATACAAACATGTACCAATCTGATCTACAGTTCACAAGCCACATCAACAATGATTAATAACAAAACAAAATGAGCATGTTATTGAAAGGTGAATTATAAAACAGAAGCATAAGTGGAATTAAATAGAAACAAATAAATTAAGCTTGAAATATTCAATAAATCAAAAATGATAACAGTTTTGGTTTGTTATGTAACTTATGAAACAACTCAACATGTCACAAAAAGAAAAAAAAGAAAATCATCATAGAAAACAAGGCCAACAGCTGGCCTGCATAAGCCCACCTGGTTTTTCTTTATGTTTTGGTATATATTAATCTATACAATATATTCTATGTATTTATGAGAACTTGGAAATGGATCAGATCATTCATTTGAACAAATTAAAAATTTAGACAGTCCTTTGCTCCAGCAAGATACAGACAAACTATCATGGATTGAAAGTTCATAGATGTGTATACCGGTAAGCCAATTGGACTTTTTAACATATGCGACCTCAAAATACAAGTCAAGGTCATTTTGAATGTACCTTTCAGTGTTGTTTCCTTGAAAGTGAATCAATATCAATGGACATTTTAACATATCTTACTTAAAGTGGGTCAGGCTAATTCATTTGAACAATCTGCATGTCATATATCAGTATTGTTACGTTTCTTAAGAAAAAAATTGTTTGAGAGGAAAATTGATGCCGGACGCTGCACCACTGCATAAGTTCACTTTATATCACATGAACTAAAAGCAATAAACACAGATTTATAACGAAGCGACACACAACATTAATCCACAAAGTATATAGGAGATTATTCCAAGTGTCAGTTGAATACAATGTTAGTAAATATTTATTTATTACAAATAGATCTATCAAAAACAGAATGTTAAGCTCTTGATGTTACTGTATACTGGGAAATATTCACTGCAGTTTAACTTTTGCCTTTTTTGCATTTCTTAAATAGGGAGAATTTATCATGAGAGTGAACATAAGTACACAATGTACAATTTGTAGTAAATGTTTGTGAAGGACGAAATTAACTCTTGGCGAATACAGATTTTCACAGTGCATGGCTAATACTAACTGGGCAAAATTTCCCTGTATACAGTAATTCTACATCTTTTAAGTTAAGTTATATTATTTTTTAATATCTGTTAAAGTTAAAAGCTATAAGTATATATCAGAATTGCCAAATTAAACATCTACTACATATTAATTATAACACACTGTACAAAGAAAGAATACTTCAAACAATGTAAACAGAACGTGATTGTAAACATCAAACACCTGTCCCACAGGTGATCAACATTAATTTCATGCACAAATCTATGATAATACTTAAACACAGAAAGTGCTTCATCCATGAAAAGTACAGATGCTAAGATAAAGTTCAAGTCATATACAGAAAGTAAAACCTCATTATGACATTTTTAAGAAACTCTGACTGATATTTTTCTGGAATTGCCACATTTCCTTTATTACTCAATGACCAGGGCTTTCTGCACAAAAGCAATAGATTTTTAGCATGAAATTATGTTTTAAATGTTGAATACCTCTTTGGGCCATGGCAGTTTTTCTTTCTGACAAGTAAATGCATATCTTACCTCTGATCTACACCTTCAAAATCACCCTCCAGCCTTTCAAGAATCTTGGCAAACAAGTCACCTGGGTTCCCAGCCAACAAGTATTCCTGGATCTTCTTTGTGAGGGTTCTAAAGCTGCCGTAGACTCTCACCTACAACGGAAACAGTGACATTATAACAGACTGAATACACTCTACTACAAATAAATTACAAATTTCATCAACAAGGATCCAAAAGTCTTGGACACTACATTTGACAAGCAAACAACTGACAAGTACATTTGAATACAGGATCACACTTGTCTCAATCCTAAGAAGAAGCATACTTGATACCCCTGGGGTTAAGTTGGATTTTACTCTTTGCACCACTAGAATAAGTCATAGCAAAATTGAAGGCACGCGCCTAGCTATTTGATTGGCTATTAGCTATTTCAAAGCAAGTCAAATTTACCATTACACAACCAACAGATTCCTAGTCTTCTTGTCATGACATATTCCCGGCCTGCAGAGAGCAAAAGTGAGCATAATCCCTGGAGTATCAAGGATGAAGAAGAAGCATAGGAACAAGAAACTGTTGGGTCAAGGAGAGCACTTAACCTTGCCCAAGAGGGGCCATAATTGCAGGGGATCGTTTGTTTGAAGAAGTTGACTTACCTCATCCAGGAGGGACCCCAAGTACAGGGGATTGTTGGTTTGAGGGGCTCACTTACCTCATCCAGGAGGGACCCCAAGTACAGGGGATTGTTGGTTTGAGGGGCTCACTTACCTCATCCAGGAGGGACCGCAAGTAAAGGGGATTGTTTGTTTGAAGAAGTTGACTTACCTCATCCAGGAGGGACCCCAAGTACAGGGGATTGTTGGTTTAAGGGGCTCACTTACCTCATCCAGGAGGGACCGCAAGTACAGGGGATTGTTGGTTTGGGGGGCATCGATCATCAGCTGTTTCTGCTCATCACTCAAAGTCTTGGAGTACACTCCCTCCAGATACCCAATGATGATCTCCTTCTTCTGTGACATGTCTAGTGGCTCCACCTTCATGTTTTGCCACCCTGCAGCTTTCACTGCATCAAATGCCTACAATATCAATAAATTTTATATTGAATTTAGATTTATTTTTCCTCTGGTTTCCCATATTGAATTTATTCAAATTTTATCAGATTAATCAATTTCTGTTCTTTTTCAAAAATTAGACACTGTTTTTGAAAGCCTATGAAATTCGCTTACCTAGTCATTCACAACAAGATAATAGAAAGCTGGTTATTTAAATCTTTAAGAAAATGTATTGCCACTTTCAAGCAGAATTATGTTTTTTTAAATTAGATATAGTAGTATAATCTAAAACTCAGCTGTTTAATCTGTTTAAAAATTTAAATTCTCTAAATATTAATTGATCGTATGATCTCCACTTATCTATGAGATATTCTATTACATACCCGACCAGGAAGTGTAGACAGCAACATAAACACATTTTTAGGCAGGGTCCTAGGTATCCACACCAGGTCATGCTCACTACCTGGTATACAACAAAGCAGACAGTCCATCAGCATAGCAACAGTGAACTGGGCTCGTATTCATCAAATAGTTCTTGTGCTTAAGAATGATTTCTGCAATCAAGCTGACTTTCTTGTACCTGCTTAAATCTGAAGCTTAAAAATGTAACCTTAAGCTTGATATAAAAGAAACAAATGTATCCCAAATATTGTCACACTTTAACCAGATATGTCTCTTTAATGACCCTTTAATGTATAAATATTCCCTTGACCCTCAATAAAAACTTAAGTCTTACCTCTATATAAAAGCATCATACAGATCTCTACAAGGTGCCTTACCTTCCTCTCCTGATCCATCATTGAGCTGATTGAGGGCATCAAACACAATCACACATCTTCCTCGTGAGGCAGCCAATCTGATCCAGCGACCCAGGTCGAGGAGTAAGTTTGTGTCAGAAGTCGGCACACTCAAGTCAATGTCAAAAAAGTTCTTGAGTTCCTCATACAACCTATGAAACAGCGACAGGATTTCTGAATGTCCTACACTCAAGGTCAAATTGATTGCAAGACGAATTCTGTCATTCTGTTACGTTCAAGGTTATATACAGTTAATTAGCGATAAATAGTTTTAAATGTCCACGTGATGGTAACAATTTAAATAAAGCAAAACACGAAGACATGTATAATCGGCTAGCGCTTTCGCCAATCTTGGGGCTTTTCAGGCGATTTAAATTTATTTGTGATAAAATCAATTTAAATCGCCTGAAGCGCCCCAAGATGGGCGAAAGCGCTAGCCGATTATACTAGTCTTCGTGTTTTGCTTTATTTGTTCAGTTAATTATATATAAAGAGGATAATTTGTTGAATACCATATATGTTTATTTCATGAGTTGGGCAGAATAACTATCTTTTTTCCCCTGAGTGATCAGCACAAGTGATATATTTAGCCATACTATTGAAATATAAATAGTAGGAAAAGCCATAAAATTTTCTATGAATTTATTAACTTTATTATTTAACATGACACAAATATTGCTGCCTCAAAAAAGTCGGGGAAATGGTAGCACAATTAATATATTACACCAGACTGCTATTACCGTTAAGATTTTCAAACAAAAATTATATCAATGGTATAGTCTGTAATGTTTGTTGGAAAGGTGTACCAAAACAATTTATAATTCTGCTGTCTCTTCATCTGAACTTGAAATTGAAAATCTATGCAGTGAATAGAAAGTACCGTTCTGATTGGACAAAACTAAAAGGGACACCTTCACATGTGAAGATATACCATTTTGTTATAATCTGCACTGCAGACTAGTGAAGATGTAAGTTTTTGTCAAATCCAAAATTCCTGATATTTCACAGGTACAAATGCAATAAATTCATTGATGTAGTGTACATGTATGTTCCATGGTATCATGTTGAATAAATCTTACATTTCATAAGTCATGAGGAAGGCTGAATACGAGTGAAATATATGGTATTCTAAGGGCAACAATTGCATTTTCATGTTTTGTTATCACATTAGAAAGACTTTGAAGACATGAACCACACATTTTACCTGCGCAATAATTTTAGGTGAGAGGCACTCTCCGCAGAACTGCCAATAAAGTGGATGAAGACGAAACTGTCTTTATACTTCTCACGAACACGCTTCACCCAGTTAGCCACTAGGGCCGACTTTCCAGATCCTGAAAATCACAGAAAAAACTAGAAATTTGTTTTTATCTCCTCTAATCAGCCAATATGCATCTGATTTTACGCTTACTTGACCTTTGACCTACATTTGAAGGTATGTAGGTCACATGGACCTGGATATAGTGCACTGTACATCTTACTTCGGTGATGCAATTATTTTTAAGTTTTATCAAAATATCTTCAATGGTTTAAAATTTAAATCCCAGTCAATACTTAAACTATTGCAATTCACAAAATCCCAGATGGCCATTGGTGCCCATGTTTATTTTCAAATTTGGTCCAAAGTCAAACTTGAGTGGGTAATAGATATTGTATATATATATATATAGAAAGTTTCATGGAAATCAGTGGATTCCTTCTGGAGTAATACATATTGCACAGAAACCATTTGTGCAGATGACGTCCATGGAGTGAGACCTTTGCTTCACAGGACATGCACCACATATAACATAATTGAACATATACAAAACCTAAAACATAACTAACACTCACTCCCTGCTTTTAGCCTGTTTTTATCCTATAGCAAATAACGAAAATATAATAAAAAAATCACTGTACATAATAATTAACGCACTACAGCACAAGACCAACTTCAGTAATCGTCGGTATCGACGGAAGAAATTTAAAAGATGAAGATGGAGATGAAGACTCAAAAATTATGATCACATTCTCTTTTATCTAAAACGTCATGTAGTGTTTGTTCATATCAGATATTGCATCTATAAGATAATATTCCGTATCAAAATAATGCTCAATGCTTTTGACCACTATTATTTTCCTCTACAACATTGAATACATATTGCCATTTTTTTTCTCATCTTTTGTAGTAAAATTAATTTTGCTCTATTTAAAAGTTTGCTCTATTTGGTTTAGGATATAATAATGATGCTTAATTCTCTCCACATCTCTCCATCCCACCCAATCCACCCTACAAATAGCAAACCTTCCTCCACCCTGCCCCACCAACATAATAAATCTTGTAACATCAACTCCATCTGTTAGATGGCTAATTGGTTTCTCATACCTGATTCCCCAAGTAAGACGAACGGCTGATCGCGTTCTTCCTCCATGACCTTGTCAATGTCAACAAAGTACTGTTCCCGTCCGATGTACACCTGTGTTCGTGCATCACCGAATGCCTGGTGAGCTTCCTGTTCACGTTCCAAGGGAGTTAACTCTGTACCCAGGGGGAAGTCCTCATTGACACAGAACTCCAGGTCCTTATAAGATCAATAATAAAAGATATAATATTAAATGTAATAAATGATATGTAGAACCTTTAAATTTATTGATCTCAGTAATGATTTAACAATATTTTTTTATTTTTTTTAAGTTTAACTGAATCCTTTTATAAGAATTATGAAAAAAAGTTGATAAACATTTATTTATACTCTTGTTGGGCCCGACTGATATATGCAAGGGGTCTTAATGAAACCTGAGTACCTGGCAAAATCCCATATGATCTGTCAGTGACGCTATACCTTTTCATGTCCAGTCAGGGAATCACACCCTGGCCTGATCATCTTAGTGAAAGGTGATTATCCAGTACACTAACAGACCAGTGACCCAACATCAAGTTTCCTAAATATGGTAGTGTGGAATAAGTCTTATTAATAAGCTTGTGATCTACTACACACAATTTTCCAATGAACTGACCAAAACATATTCACTTCATCACATGTCTATCAACCTTTTAACATATACACAACATTGGGTTATATCTTCTGTACCTCCTTGATCATAACACAGACTTCCTCTGGGCTGGCGAACCTGCGAGAGTTGATTTCATCATTTGTTCCCACTCTGGTCCTCAGCTGAGATACGCGATCACTATGCCATGGAGACTCGGAAGATCTTTTCTATAACATGAAAAGAACACTTACATGGGTAAGCTGAAGTACAACAGACTCCAAGATTATAAAACCACTGCCTTGATTAACAGTTTTTACAGATAAGATAACAAAAAAAGTAGAAGTCATTTCGCAAGTTTCAGTGTTATTATATATATAAAATGTTAAAAATACATTAATTTCTGCATGATTATTATTACTATACTGCAATACTTTGACATATACCTGAAAATTATTTTCTACAATAAGCTTGTCCTCATGACAGAGGGCACCGAGGCCAAAAGTCAAACTGTAACTAGACCTGTCGTCCGGGGCACAACTAATACCCCTGCCACCTAGGAAGTTTGAGAGAACGAGGCTGTGATGTAGGAGTTAAGATTTAGTATGAAGAGAGAGGGAAAATGAATGAAATGCATTTGGTACACATTTGGTGTACAGTTTTATGCTACAGTACTGAGTTAAATCCATTGAGTAGGTTAGGAGGAGTACAGGGTACTACATTGGGTATCTGGTACTATATTGGTAAAAGTTCAATATGCGTAAAATTGGAACCTGACGAAAAACCCGTTATATATGTTAAACATTATTGCTTCTAGTATACCCATTCCAAATTTGGAATAAATTGAATAAAAAAAAAAAAAAATGTGACAAGGGGAGCTAACCCAATGAAAAGAGTACTTTACACATATTTCCAAGCTGCAAGGATTATAATCAGCAAATTTCATTGAAATCCATCCAGCAGTTTAGAAGGAGTGCATGGTACTACATTGCGTCCACAGACGGACGGACGGACAACCTCATTCCAGTATACACCCCCCCCCCCTAACTCCTCATTGCGGAGGGTATATATAACAACTTTACCAGATATAGAGTATTTCTACTTCTCAATGAGAACAATTATACAGACTAACTTAATATATATATATACATACAGTCTGAATCAACTTACAACAAATTCAGACTCGCTCATCTCAGATTGCTCTGGAGGGTCGCGAAGATAGAAGAAACTCCGATTTTTATTTCCCTGAATGTCATTCAACACACCATGAAGCACCTCCAGCTGGAAAGATAAACCAAGAGGAAGTGTATTAAAATCATTGCATCATTTTGTCAGTCTGATACAGGGGGTCACAGAGACTGAGTGGCCAATTACAATTAAGGCATCTGACCATCTGCAATCACTAGCCCTCCACCACTGAATCACAGGTATGAGGCCTACGTGGGGCAGTCGCCAGGTATTGGCTGCAATTCGGTTATTGTAGGTACCTGTGTGACACTAGTGTTGTCCCTATATTCCTCAATCCAAGCAAGGTTGGGGTGATTCTCAATAGCAAAGTCAAAACTCTTCATGAGAGCCTCATCCTCTTTGTCTTCGGGCTTGGACCAGCCAAACCTCTGGCCAAGCATGCAGAAGAAGTATGGCCGACAACGGTCAATCTACACAACAACAAAAAACAATAGTTCAAGTATTAACCTACAACAGGATAGTAAATTAAGATTTGAATAACATTGTTGTTTTTAAATATCAACATCTTCTGATTTAACATTTACATGTCAATGTAGCATAGCTAGCCCAGTCCATTCAACCTTTTCATACAGGTACATAATTATGTATAACACAGAGCAGCTAACAAAAGACGCCTGTCCCATGCCAATATGACATACTTAAACTGTCCTTCTGATGCATTATTGTATCTAAATGAAAATATGGAAATGGAAGGAGAAAAAACAACACTTGTACTTTATTACTCAGAAAAGTTGAGAACTATGTTCTGGAAAAGGTGGAAGGAGAAAACCTACTGTACTTGAATTGGCCAACTTCAGCTGAAGGAATATATATATTTCAGATATTCTTAATGACCTTTAAAAAAGGTTATTTGAAATTGTCTCCCTTTACTGAAGAGAAGTCATCCTATAGAATGTACAGATCAATCAGGGTCTAAAGAAGTTATCCTATAGATCTAGAACGGAAAAAGATTCATCAGTAAAGTCAGCTGTCAAATATCTGAGAGACATTTCGCCCCATTGCACTCTAATACTGCAGGCAGTCAGGGGAACGGGTAATATGTTTACCCATTCCGCCCCTTATTAAACAGAGATGAAAGGGGGCTAACAACCGAGTCATCCTTATGACCCCATTTTAACATCCAATAATGGATGGAAACTGTACAACTGTATAAAACATATACATGGCTACTTTAGGAGTGAAAGGACCTCCCAATGTACCTACCTCCTGCAGACAGATGGCGATGGTCTGTCCTGTTTCTGACTGTTCCTCACTGATTCCCCATCGTAAATCCACATAGGTAAAGAAAACACCTCGCTCAGAGCACATTTTGTTGATCTGAAGGACACAAAAAAAATATCAGTATCTTCATTACAGAACATAAGAAAAGAGTTGTTCTCTCATATTTGTATCCCTTATTGGAACTTGGAAAACTTTTCCCCAATTAATCTGTGGAAATAACTTCTCAAATTTTGTCTTGTCCAGTTATAACGAATAACAAAATAACCTCTCAAGAAAATTAGACATTCAAAATGATTAAAAAAAATCAATAATAATTTCTATGTAACATTTAAAAATGTTAAATTTTTCGATTTTCTTTAATTTGGATGCATTAATTGCTTTTGTTGCCATGAATACCCCAATAAATCCCAGCAGAAATACTTCTATATACCACAATTCCTGATTGCTATGTTTAAAGATAACAAAATGTCCTGTTGAATAATGTTACCTCTCTAAATGTTTTCTTGATGAGTTGTTCTCGCTCTTCACTGAAATCCTTGAAAGTACTTGACACAAAAACACGGATCTCTCTCTTTCTGTGTTTCCTCGGCGTTCTCTTTTTAGAAGGTACATATTCCTGGTTTGTGATATCAGGTTCAGCAAGCACTGGCAAAGTCAAAAGGTCAAATCATGTTTCAAGATGAATTCTCATCAGATTAATGTAATGAGGTCAGCGACTCTCCTCTGTTAATATATGATGAAGTGTTCGTGATTTTGACCTGTTTTGGTTATAACTTTACCTACTGCTGAGATATTCGATATGAATACAACATATTCAGCGCTGGACACAGCCGGTTGCCTGGTCGCCAAAGGCGACCAAAACCTTGATTGGGCGACTAGAAATTGTCAAAAGATGGATGTTACTAGCCCAAAAATAAATCTTTGGGCGAGTACATTATTATTCTCAAAATTGTAGTTTACTCCCATAAATTAACCACCCCAACTTCGGAAATCCTATACTCTCAAGAGTCTGGGTCACACCGTTAAAACGTGCAAGTGTATCAGAACTGACACTGACGGTACAAAAAAAGCTGTCGAAGTATGCAAAGTAAGTTAACTAATGTACTTTTATAAGTCGTAAGTTTTCTTCGCTGTAAGTTACTATTTTATGTTGTTTGGTCTGCCGTATCACCAGTACTGGTTGACGCCGAATTGACATTAGATAGGCACGTCAATCAGCAGAGGTCGCTCCAAGGTAGATAACTCTTATACTTCCGTAATGTTAGAAAACGCCATGACACTTTCGCCGGTAATGCTTATACATGGTACCTTGGTTTGTTTACAAAATGCTTGGTAATAATTGAATTGAATGACAGCTACTCAGTTAGTTGGGAATGTCATTAAAAACATCTATTTATATTGTTTTATTGGCATTTTTTAGTGCTCAACACTGAAAATAATCTTAGTGAAATATTTTGGCTACCAATATTCATTTTGGGCCTGTGGAATAATTTTTGTACTTGCCCAAAAAAAAATGTCCTGCACTGCATATCTCTTGACATTAGATAACAGTGTAATCTTTGCACTCTCTGTACATCCATTAAACTTTTACCAATTAGTTTGAATATTGAATTTCAAAATAGAGTTTCATCTGTATGTTATGGACTTGCAAAAATAGATGTGTCAATCAGCAGGTGTTTCGTATGTTTGTAGTTTTGGGTTAAATATTGCACCTCTTTTAAATTTAAATGTGGAATAGATGACAGGTATTTAATCTCTGAAAAAAGTATAGCTATAGCACAGTAGGAATGGACTTAATTATTTAAAGAAGTTAACAGGAGTTAGCTGCAGTTTCCAATCAGAGGTCAATTTTTCATGTAAATTTTGGTTGTGAAGGTCTAAAGCAAGTAATGCTGTGAAATGCTAATAGACCTACTAAATATGCCCATTTTCAGCCTTTTTTTAGATATAAGCATCTAAGATTCTACAGTTTTTTCTAGTGTTGAACTTCAAATATTAAAGTCAGTAGCTTAAATATTAGTACAATAGACAGTGAATTATTTGGTTGCTCAAAAGCTATAAAACTATACAAATCGTAGAAAAAACTTACTTTTGTCCTCTACCAGTTCCATGATCAAATCCTTGTTGTCAGCGAACATCTTCACAACAAGTTTGTCTCTGTTGACCGTGAATGTTGCCGCCTCTGGAATTAACTGCAGTAAGAGAAGGACATTTCTCTCACCAAGTTTAACTCTAAGGATGCATAGTGCCCATTATCAATGGTCCAGTGGGCTGTCATAAATAAATTCTTCTTCTGCTGTGGTTTTGTGATAACAACATTCATACCTTTATATTTTGACAGCTTGTGTAAAAGGAAAGGAAAACCACAATGGCCGAACCAGGACTCAAACCCAGGACCTCCAAACTCCTGAGAGATCCCACTCTAACCAACAAATTAATCAACTACCCGGTCTCCAGCAAACAACCTGTCAAAGTTCCTTTCTTTCTTCAATAAAGAATTTGACCCCAAAGACCCTATTACCCTTCTATGGGTATACAATTAATTGGACGTTGAAATGGCCAATGAGGATTCGAACCTGAAACCTCCAAACTCCAGACAGTGCTCCAATCCACTGATCTGAGCTACATGGTTACCAACTGAGCTACCCAGGTTACTGATAACTTGAATAATTAGAGGACAGTTTGTGAGACACACTTGTCACTTGAGTCACTTGTGTACATACCTGTATGTCTGTGAAGCTGTCGTCAGGCGCGGGGTGTGTCTCTCTCTTCACCCTCACTATAGACGTGGAAATCAGTGGCCCATAGTGACCAGCCCAGTTCTTATCATCCTTACCTGGCAAAAGGTCAAAACAGGTCAATTTAATATAAAAGTTTAACTGTTGTGATGGATACATTATAATTACAAGGATGATTTTAATCTAATGCAAACAAAAGTAGATAAGTATCAACAGGGAATGGTCAAAAACAGCCCTAACAGTGTATATAAATGTATGAATCAAAGAGCTATCTTCATAATCAGATAATTGAGCAATACATGGACACAGAACAGAGGACTTTCAACATCAAAATGCTTCAACTGTAGCTGCCAGATAGCTATAGGGTTGGTGTTTCCACCCTTGACATGAAACAAGATTGATTGGAAAGGAGTACTAATATTAGGATATCTACATCAATAACGAACCCAAAAGTCTTGCTAGCTGGTTAGTGTTTCCACCCTTGACATGAAACAAGACTGATTGGAAAGGAGTATTTATTAGGATATTTACATTAAAACTAAACCCCTAAAATCTTGCTAGCAGCTGGTTGGTGTTTCTACCTATAAGAGGAAACAAGATTGAGTGAAAAGGAGTATTTATTAGGGTATTTACATCAATAATGAACCCAAAAATCTTGCTAGCTGGTTAGTGTGACATGAAACAAGATTGAGTGGAAAGGAGTATTTATTAGGGTATTTACATCAATAATGAACCCAAAAATCTTGCTACCTTGTTGGTGTTTCCAGTGGAAAGGCGTATTTATTAGGATATTTACATCAATGCTAAACCCCCAAAATCTTGCTAGTTGGTTGGTGTTTCCACCCTTGACAGGAATAATATCAATAAACACTTTACATTCTGAATTTAACAATCAATTCGTAACAGAAGGTTACTAAGATATACACAGATCAAATGCTTACCATTTGAGGTTATGCCAACCATGCGCACTCCTGGTCCGTAATCTTTGAATGTAGAAGTAGCGTTTTGCCAAGCTTTATCCTTGTAGATGGTTCCAATTTTTCCTGTGCTATAAGAATCAATGGCCTGAAAACCAAAGCACCATTAACTACAGTGGAATCAGGAAACCATTGCTTGCAAATATGAATGTCCTTCAAAAGGTCAAGCATTGGAAAAAAGCTATTCAGGTTTTAATCTCTAAAACATTCTTTCATTGAAAAATTAGAGGTTTTTTTTATCAATTTATTACAGGAACAAGAAATTTGGCTAGAGCATGGAATCTGAGTTTGAGCACAAGAATAATTTCATGAATAATTGCCCGGACCTTGAGCTTCAGTTTCTGCAGCTTCTTATATAGTAGGTGTCTCATAATCTAGTCACTTTTGCTAGAAATGATTATGGCTGGATTAACGATGCTCCACTGTACATATTCTGAGTTTACAATTCATATGAAAATACATCATCTTAACAAAATGACATAAGAGAAAATCAAATACTGCGGGGTGGGGGTTAGGGGATAGAGGGTGAGGAGGTACCGACATCATTAACATAATATGTTTATACATGTTTGTTTTACACAATGTATTAAATACTTAAAAAATCACTTATTGTGAAACCTCTTTTAAAATACAACCTTTTATTGCAGATTTTTTTTTAAAACAACTGCTGTTATTTAATGAATGAAATAAATGAAGACTTACATTGCCATCTGCTTTCAACAGCCTAGCCTCATAGCTATAGAAACCTCCGCCACATACACCTTCTCTATACCATTCAGATACCTGTTAAATAGTACCACACAAAAGTAACAATAATGTCATATGCTCACATATGTCCTCTTTATACCTCTTTATACAAGACACATGTAGTGTTTAATTTATTACAAGACCCAAAATAGCAATAAAGTCATACTTCCATAGGGATTTTGCTGTGGTCATTGTCAGTCCAAACTTTGGCCCTTCCATTCCCAATGGAAATGGTGCAATTTTTCCCAAATCCCTTTGAAGTACCGAAATTATTTGCATTTTGTAATTAACCAGATAAATTTCAACTTTTTATATCTGAAATGTAAGAATAATCTTTCATAAAGTATGATGTCTTAAGACTTTTATAGAAGATCCTTTGTGAGAAAATAAAAATAAAACCCCAATTTGGTTTACTGCAACACATTTTTTTTTAATTTCAAAAATATAAGCCTCACTGAAAAATAGCAAAAAAAAGGCAACCACCAGATCAAAGATATTTTCCCATTATCAATCAAATAGTAAAAAAATATTTGTTTCAAATAAAACAGTTTGAGTGGGATTTTCACATGTACATATTCATCCCTTGATACTTACATTCTGTATGTTTGGACCCATTGACAAAAAATACATTTATTTTTGCATAATACAGGTGACCTCATCTCATAGTGTATTGAATCAATGTTGGACTGACTTACACAATACATATGCAAGACCACACACTTGCGTTTTTCTAACGAATCAGAAAGCAAGAGTTTATTGCGCGGACGAATATATTCACGAGTACGCAGAGCGCACGAGTGAATGTATACGTCCGTGCAATAAATGAGTGCTTTCAGATTCGTTAGAAAAACACAAGTGTGGTCTTGCTTTAATCACATACCTTCCGTGTTTGGTAGAGATTGATACAAAGATATTTATGCAAATACCAGAAACTTTTCATTTCGCCATGACAAGAGGATTCCCATAAATAGTAATTCCGGCTAGTAGGTAAATACAACATTCCATATTGCACATGTGCAATACAGAACGTTGTATTTCATAGTCTGAAACTTGCTTGTATTACTATAACAAGATTCAACAGGTATGTGATAAATGCTGTGATGATGCATATATATACATAGTTTGTTTACCAGTGAAGCCACTGTTAAATTATTCTTATAATGCTTATATAAATGAACATTAATCTTTATTGCATTCATGGTAAAGGCGCAAAAACTTAAAAAGTCGTTTTGAAAAATAATGATAGCATATATATATATTACGCGTAATATGTTACAAATCAAATTCTGTAAATGGAACTACATTCTTTTTTTTGTATTCATGCCGATAGACATCCAGTAGAAGTTTCACAATTTCCTGCAAAAACATTCCGTTTTCTCTACTGCGTTGCACCCGTGTATAAACGAAGCAAAATTGTTGTATGATTTTTAAGTGTCTTGGAACAATTGCTTACGAGCATTAAAAAATGTACATGTATAAAGAAAGGAAATTATTTTATCACCACATTTACATGAACATATTAATAATGAATTGCGGTAAATTTATGAGGCCAAAGCAACGTTGGAAAATTCAAATTTCATTCCTTAAAAAAAGTCTTCCATGTAAATACAGTTTTTATGAAATTATATACTGGTAAATCCTTAGTATGCAGAGGAAAAAGTGTAGTATAAATTGTTGGATACTCCAGTACTTGTCTTTACCTGGATGTCTGGAGATGTGTCCAGATATTCTTCGGAGAAATGCTCCAACAGGTTCACCTCCTGATATTTTTTACAGCCCATATGAGACGTCTGGAAGGCTTTCTCTGTACCGTAGCCTCCCTCACACACATTCCAGCTTCCAGAGGTGTTCCAGTGTGACATGTCTCCCTCCTGTACCACACAAACTTTAGTCAGTAATATGACTTTATCTTAAAACTCTTCATAATGGTAGAATAGACAATGCAATCAGGAGTTATTACAAAAAAATCAAGCAATTTATTGCTGCGAGTAGGTATATTTTAAAACATTTCTGTAAATGGCTGTGACTCAGGACTGGTTTTGGATTATTCTTATGTATAGTGTGCACCCCTTCCTTGCTATAATCATTTTCCCCTACAACAGTGTGCACTATATGTGAATATTTATGGTAGTAAACACTTAGTACTGATCTAGCTTATCAGTTATAATGTATTTGTCGTTTTAACAGGTGACATTATTACTATTACACAACCTAAGTCAATCCCGGATAGATTTTATTAACCACTTACAGATGTGTGCTTTGTTAAGTCATATGACAGATTTCAATATTCAAATTATTGGTAGAAGATGTCAGATGAAAGTTTCAAAAGGCACTGTTAGATTTTGAACGAAATTTGATGTTACAAAGGCTATAATTAATAATAGCAATTTGAAATCATTCATGTTTTAATTACACATAATATGCGCTGAATTAAAAAAAAAAGCATACCTCTCCACTTCCATTTTTCAACAGGTTGGCAGACCAGCCTACAATTTGAAGTTGCTTCCTAGTAAGTGAGCGAACCAAAGGGTCAATCGTGTCCATGAGTTTCTGCTTCTCCGACTGTTCTTCTTTGAGTTGTTCCGGTGACTGTTCTTTTTCTTTGTACTTCTTCTTGTCAAGAAGAGCAAATGCACAGATCGCCTGCTTATTGGATCTGATGGTCAACTTGCCGTCAGTGACCTCCAATGGCACATCAGCTATGTATGTGGTATAGCCACTGTGTTCCTTCAGGAAGTCTTTTGCAGAATCAGAGGCCTGCTTGATCTGTAAACAGCAAGCTTTTCATGATATCATATAGTTTGAGTTGAAGATGATTTAGCAGTTACAAAAAATTAAAAAATAAATTTACTGAATACATTATTATGTAATTTATATCCTGTTAAATGTGACAACTTAATAACTTGTTGAAAAGATCGTAATGTAAACACAACATTTATCTTTTAATAAAGATGTTGATGTTTGGATGTCCATAGCATTTACTTTTTAGCAGTCAAAAGATATCTGATCTTTTAGAACAATATTGTAAATTATAATTAGCCCAAGGTGCTAAAATATGAATACCGCAAATATAATCAAGTTCAGTGCAATACAATAATTGAATTCATTGGAGAGGACTTATAGAGGTCCTGTACTGGAAACTAACTCTTAGTAGTGTAAACAAAATCACTGTCAATGTGTCATCAGTAATTATAGGTGGGTTTGGTCATCCGAAAGTTATAAACATACATTTGTAACTGTGACACGATGAAGAGCACCAAAGCTACAGGCAGAATTGTCCACTTTTCATTAAAGTATCAAATAAATCAGCTCAAATCAGGGTTAATAAACAATATTTCTATGAGATGTTATTATTTATACTTTTATACTGACTTATGAAATACATACATATTTGGAAACTTTGTTCCCATTACAAACAAAATCTGCAGCTGGGGAAATCCTGTGTATGAAGTGAAACCGGATTATGTAGGAACCGTTTGGGACAGCAACCTGTCAAATTAAAACAAAATAATTCAACGATATCACAATGATGTCAATTTTAGGATATTATTCTTAAAGCAAAAACAATGTACTTGTTCTGATCCCTGCCTTTCAGTTAATGACACTCGCATTAAACAGTGATAATTATTAACGACAAGAATGTCTTTGTCTCATATGTATGTACACTTTCACAAAGATGGAGCTGTTATATTATAGAACGCCTTCCCTTTGTACATTATCCAGACACTTACATCATAGTGAACCTTCTGTTCAGCAATGGCCTCCGTGGAGAAGTGACGTAGTGTAGCGTACAGAGCCCCATCATGAGTGGCCATTAGGAGGGACGGAATGGTGTTATGCACCTTCACTTCACCGTACGTTGAGTATCTGCATCCTATATGTATCAACAACCATATCAATATTTAAAGGACAAATGACCACCTTAATTACTGTGAAATGAAATCTCCTATCCAAAAGAGCTCCTCACTAAATTAATCTGTTTTCAAAATTAAAAGAGTTCCACACTGATAAAAAAAATCTTTCAAGAATCATTCCTTTGTAGTTCGTTAAATTAGTTGAGACCATATTTGAATGACATTAGAGAATCTACATGTAAGTATTAAAACACTTTAGTGATTCTGCATAATAAACTTTGTTGTAGGAGGTAGCATATATCTTCATTGTAAGTTTTCAAATCAAAACAAATCTAGTTGATAAGTACAGGACAATGAGAAGTGCAAGTCTAGACTGGGGTTCAAACCCAGGACCCTCCATACTCTAGACAGAGGTTCTACCAATTGAGCTACCTAGTCACTGATGATCGACCCAGTCCAGTTACACTACATTCATTCCTCCTTTAACAAAGTCTTTGACCCAGAAGACATACAAGACCTTATATTATTCCAACTTCCGTAGCAATGGTCAGACCAGGGTTATAACCCGGGATCCTCCAAACCTCTAGACTGACTCTCTACCAATTGAGCTACCTGGTCACCGATAATGGACCCAGTCCAGTTTCGCTACACACCTAATGCTTACTTACCATTGTTGTCAATTGTGTCATACTGGCAAAACTGCTTGTGTTCACTGGCGTAAGTGATATCATTGACACTAGTGTAGTCGTAACCACCACTGTTGCATGTGTAGACCACACCCTCCTTCTGTGTGATGATCATTTTAGGTGATCCATTCAGTTCTAACATCACATTCTTCCCACCTACAAGTATTAAGTTACAGGGAAAAGCTGTTACCACTAGACACAGGTACGACATTAGAACAGGTGACAATCGGCAGTCCGAAAAATGTGATGTGGTTTATTGAATTCAAATCTTTGAATTTATTTATCATATCAAAATAAAATTAAGTGCTACATGTGTTTACATTTGCATGCATGATTCCTGGCCCTTAATTTAATTTCATTAGCTATAACCATGCAGATATGAGCATTTAGAAATCCTTAGAGCTTTCTATCCATAGCAGTGTTTTCTGTTAAGAAAATTCATATTCTTGCAAAGATTAATAAATAGCACTCTGTTAAATTTATCTGTAAAACCTACTAGTGACATGACTTCTTGATGCAAAGACCTTCACAAGGGATGTGCCAATGGTTATCTCCCCTTGTTTCCACTCTCTACAGAAGGCATATCCATCTTTAACTTGTCTTAGCTGTCCTGGCTTGAATGAAGCTACAACTGCGTGGTTGACTTTAATGTGAACTTTAGATGGTCGGTCCAAGATTCCCTTTATAAATTTGTCGGTGATGACCACCTGGCCCCGAAGAGTGGAAGGTTCCCCAGTACCTAGGCATAAGGTCTGGTTGAACTTTGTTTCTCCAATGTCCACCTGCAAGTTAGATAGCGTGGCGTACCTACAGGGCCCTGGGGGACCCTTAACATTGATACACTTCCCTCCAACAGACTCGAATACCCAGAGGTCAGCATTGGAGCAGCCTGATCCAACTTCACTAGCTACAAGTTTGGTGGACACTTCGGAACTGGATGAGATGGTTACCATGTAGACAGCAGCTGTTGTGTTATTTTCTGTTCCATGGCTGTTGGAGCACAGAATCATTAGAACACCAGGTCCCTGGTTGTCAAGGACGAGTGTTGGCTCTTGACCATCTGTAGCTTGGGTGAAGTGAACTCGTGGCTTCTCAGCTTTCCTTTCACCTACATATTTGTCTGTTTTGTTGGCATAAATAGAGAAATAGGAATCTTTTGGTCCTTCAGCATCTACTTCTGCATGGCTGTTCACACCAAACTTCCATTTATCATCCCCATGAATCAGTTTGGCCTCCACAAAGTTGCCCTTGAAACCTGTTCGCACCATATACGCAGCATTGCCCTCCGGACAACTACAAAGAACCAGCATACAGAGAGTGGCATTGCCGTCTGTGAGGAGACTGTAGCGGCCATCATCACCAGGTGGATAGCTGGTCTGGATACCGTTACTCAGATCACCATATTGGCAATCATTTGACAACACAAGGACAGTATTCGTACCAAACATCAAGTTACCCAATAAAAATCCTTCTTCATTTGTCATGAAGTAGTTTTGACAACCAAAATGACCAGAATTTCCTTTGGCAATGCTTGAAGTTCCAAGATGATTACAATCAAAACCTGATCGCATGAGAAAGATTTCTGCAGTAGTCTCCTCGCCCTTGCTCCCATAACTGTTTGAACAAAGTAGAAGGGATGCACATCCACCATAGTGAGCATTTACTGAAAAATTCAGCTTGACATAATTCCTGATTGGCCATTTTGAGTTGTTGGAATTATAAATGGATGCACCTTTTGCTGTAAAAAAAAAATACTTGATAAAAAGGTAAATTTCAGCAAAAAGTGATAAAATAGTCAGTGTTTGTATTTATATAGTTCAAACAGATAACAACAATTAGAGAGTAATATTTCAAAGATATGTTTGACAATGTACATCATTCATGGATACAAGATATCAATACTATAAAAATGACGCAATCCCTGTTTTGTTGTTGTTATTTTTTTACATTTATATGATATGACTCTCTCAAGATAATACAAAATAGCAGTACCAATACTAAATACATTACACTGTAAGTGACATATCCAACTACAGATAATGTTACTAGCAGATACTGTTATATCCAGTTGCAAAATTAGTACTGGTTAAATTCAAAAACAAAAACGAAAATAATTTAGTGTACAAAATGAGATCCGGACACTAACAGGAGAGCATGGCCAGGCCTTTCAGCCAACCCTTTAAAGTATGTGTTCTATTCCCAAAACATAGCTTTGACATATATATACATTGTATATGGGTTTCAGTGAACAGGTCTATTTGACACATGTTTTGACCATCCAAATTTCAGCGAAAAGGCTATTTGACTTCTGAAATTGCTAAATGTCAATGGTCAACTGAAAGCCTTGATGTGTACATGAATTATTGAGTCATGCAGCATATACCAGAATATCCTTACATATATAAGGACAGTGATATTTGTTAACAAGTCAAAGCAATGTGAGCAATCTGTAGTCCTAATCCTTCACACAAACTTGTGTAATTCATTGACTTTTATGAAGTGAATAATACTGAATATGTTGATTTGTTCACCCATGAAAGAACAATATCCTCTGATAAAGATAAACAAATTAATGTAACATCCCCTTAAAAAACTATATATGACAGAAGAGGATAACGGCTATTGAGAACCCTACCTGGGCGTGGGTTGGGAGGAATACTGGGGAGGTCAGTTTGGTCGGTCACTATGTTTTCCTCATCGCTCACAGTGTTATCTTCTTCTGCCTCATCAGTCTTATTTGTTCCCGTTAAAATAAAAGGGTGAAGAAACACAAAGTTAGATAATCTTCATTTCCGTGGTAACAGCAAATGAAATACATGATATATAATAACCATGTACTAGTTAAAACAGTAATCCTCAGAGATATCAAAGCTTATATTTTTTAGAGACTATCACAAAATGAAAACATATGAATCAGATTATCAAATCACTTTCTGTAACTTACTGTAAACAAATGTACTAATGGTCTATTAATGGTTTAGTTACATGTAAAACTCAACAATTTTGTTATACTATACGTATATATATATCTTTCATTGCACACTTGTTTAATGCAAATGTGCACAAGACATGTAGCAAATGTAACTATGTACACAGTAACATACATAAAGTGATTCTATGACACATATCAGAATAACCGACGGCAGTATATGTTGGTGTACCTCTTCAGATGAATCAGGTTTAGCAGTAACTAACACTGCTACCTGATTTCCTGTGTCAACGTCACTCCTCGGAGCAGTGTTTTCAGAGCCATTTTGACTTTCCTGATTATCCACCTCCTCCTGAGGTTTTCCATTTTCCTGATTATCTCCCTCTTCATGAAGTTCTCCACTTTCCTCATTATCTCTCCCTTGACTTTCTACCTTATCCTCTGGTTCTCCACTTTCCTGAGTATTTCCACCTCCCTGAACAACTCCATCTTCCTGAACAACTCCATCTTCCTGCGATTCCTCCTTTGCATCAGTCAATAAAACAGTGTCGTCTTTACTATTCACTTCAGCAATGCCGGAGTGATTGTCCTCTCCTTGTATTTCCTCCTCCTGATCTCCCACAGGGATCACAATCGGACTTTGATCATGTTTAGATCCATCATCAGAGATCACACTATTTGTTTCAATCAGATCTGATTTCTCTTTTTCGGGTTGCGAGTCATGAGTCGTATGATCCGGGATAGAAAGCTCCTCAACATCAGATGTTTTCAGTGTATGGTTGGGGATAGACTCAACAGCATCAGTACTCTTCACTACAGCTACTTTAGGATCAACTTGCTCAACTTCTTCTTTAACTGGTACATTGTTACTCTTTGCTCTTTCTGTTTGCTGGTTTCTAGGTTGCCCATTCTGATCCAGAACTCCTATAGGCGCGTCTTGACTTGGTGCACAGCCCATTTTGCTAAGATTTTTCAATACGAAAAGACTTATAGTCGAGTGTGATATTAATGTTCAATCCATGCATGTCGTCTTCTTATACTGCATGATAAATCTGAGTTAAATAACAAAAATAATAACAAAAAGTAAGCACAACGTATAGTGAAACATGATCAAGATCAAAACTTTACTTCTAATTATCAATTCTGCATTGCATACAATAGTAAGATTAACCTGAATTTACTTCAACATCAGTATCTAAACCTGAATTTACTTCAACAGTATCTAAACCTGAATCTAGTTTAACCTCAGTATGACAATGTGCTCTTTCAGCGCAACTGACATTCCTTGAAAGTGTTATCTATGAAATAGCCTCAGTTCCATATACTGCTGTTGTCATAATGATGTCATAATTATCAGGGATCTGATTAGACTGGATTCACATAATGATGTCATAATGATCAGGGATCTGATTAGACTGGATTCACATAATGATGTCATAATTATCAGGGATCTGATTAGACTGGATTCACATAATGATGTCATAATGATCAGGTATCTGATTAGACTGGATTCACATAATGATGTCATAATGATCAGGGATCTGATTAGACTGGATTCACATAATGTTGTTTGTCCTCAAATATTTATTATTGTTATTATTCATATATATTGTAGTTTATGAGAGTGTGTATTTTTTTGTTCATGTAGGTAATATTTTTTCATTATTTATACATTCATGACTGTGTCCAGACCAGTTATAACTTATGTTACCTGTTATTATTACATGTACTTGGTACAATACTCTTTACAAAATAAAATATGTGCTATATGTTACCATGCATGTCTGATAAATACATTTAGGTGGGTTTATTTCTAAGAATAAGTCCCAAGAATCATGGAAGCATTTGTTTTAATCTGTGGGTTGAAATACAGGTACGTTTTAATTTACTGTCAAACTATTATAATCAGAATTATCTAAAACCTACCAAAACAATGTAGTATTATAATTGAAAATAATTCTGAATAGTGTTTCAAATGTTATTTTAATGTCCTATTGAGAATCTGATTTACACGGCACATTACCTTGTAAGTTGGTGTTGCTTATATAATATATCACTTATTGAGGGATCTCATTCAACAGTAATCTTACAGCTATGACAGAGTACAGCCACTACTTATAGTTGTTCTTATTTGATATTACAGCACTAATTAAGTAATGAACATTGTAAATATGTATATATAGTGAAAAAAATGGGCTAGGAAAATCGCTGTAATTCTCAAATTTATATATATAAAAAAAGTATTATGAATAACATCACGACGAAAGAATAAAACAAACTTTATATTGATTATCACAGTAGTAGGGTGGTGGCGGTCCTTGGGGTATGTAACCCAAACCCCTCCTGACATGCAGCTACCCCTTTTTAAAGCTGAAAAAAGCAACACTTTAATTAGCTGTCAGTTACTTTTTACAACAAAAGAGACATAAGTCACGATCCGTCGCACATTAACAATTAAATAGATGAACATGGAAATAGGTCGTCTCGCTCCTCTCAGCGATAGTCTGTCAGCGATTGTCTGTTACTGGTATAGAATCAAGAGTGGTTCAGGTCCTGTCTCTCTGGTAGGACACAAATTGTGAACAAGGTGAGAACTCTGAATCATGTGATGTAAGTTGCGGGGTACCTCAAGGTAGTTTGCTCGGACCGCTACTATTTTTTTATTTATGTCAATGACATGCAAATCAGCATTGACACAGATTGCAAAGATTTGTTATATGCAGATGACTCGCCTATTCTTTTTTCGCACAAAGACCCTAGGGTTATATCCAGAAAACTATCATCAGTGCTGGAATCTTGTTATGACTAGCTAGTCGATAATAAGTTATCTTTACATCTTGGAAAAACTGAGAGTATTATATTTTTGGTCCAAAGCGTAAAATAAAAAAAGGTTTATGGTGAAGAGAGTTTTACAGTAAGCTGTAATAATCATAATATTTTAGTTACATCATGTGTAAAATATCTTGGTATATATTAGAGGATTGTATGTTATGATTAGTTATGTTATGATTAACAACTTGTTATCTGGTGAAGAGATTGTTGATTCCATAACTAAAAAGGTTAATCAGAGATTAAAATTTCTGTATAGGAACAATATTTGTTTGTCTTTCGAATCCAGAAAGACCTTGTGCTCTGCGCTTATTCTATGCCCCTTTGACTATATGCAAGTGCTAGTTGGTATGAAGGACTGTCAAAATAAATTAAAAAGAATCTACAAGTGGCACAAAACAAGGTGATAAGATTTATATTAAATGTACATAATAGACACAGTTTGCACACCAAGATTTTAGTTGTGTAAACATGCTGGATATCAATACCAGGGCAAGGCAACTTAGACTTAACCATATGTTCAATATTTTCCATGGAAAAAGCTCCTCAATATATGTATCATTTTTTTAACAAGAATCCATATCTGCATAGTACTCGCTCAAATCTATGTAATTATATTGTTCCTAATGTAAAATGTTCTGAATCTGGTACCAAAGATTGGAATTCACTTCCTGAAAACATCAAAAGTGAAAATAATAATTTCACTATTAAATCCAAGGTGAAGAGTCATTTACAGAAGCTTATGAAAGGAAAACAAGAAAGTGAATATGTGAACTTATAAAATGATTCTATGTTTTAGGTTATTAAATATTTTACTGTATGTTTCACATTTAAAAGGAGGAAAGTATTATGTGTAATTTTAAACTGACCATCATGTTTTAATTAATGGAATAGCAGTTTATTTTATGAATGATGTCCACATTATCAAATAATGTTTAACACCAATACTCAATTTTAAAAATTGTACTTTAGTTTCCTTAAAAGGACCCCAATGGAAATAAGCTTTTAGCTTTTTGGGTTATCCTAGGTAAAAGGCTGCAATTTCGGTAAAAAGTCTAATCTATTGATCTCATATTGTAGTGCGCTACTTGCGCAATGTTGTTATCTGGTTATTTTATGGTAAAAGTACTGTCGAAAAATGTAATGTTGTACTGTAATCTACTTTGTGATATTGATGTATTGTAATATGTCTATATTTTCTGAATAGATATTATTATAGCGTAATCACTGCATTCTATCATATATTCTGACCCCGGTCTCTGTGTACACAGATGTAAACAGCGCCTGACTGGTCGATAGAAACTGGCCTACATGTATAACCAAAGACAGTGTATATGTCTCTTAACCCTTAACCATGGTGACATGCATATCGAAAGTCATGATTTCTTAAAGAAGGGAGTAAGAGGATAGAAAACAAGGTAACTGAACCAAATGAGCCTACAATTCGGATGTTAGCAAACCTTTATGGGCCGCACGACTGTCCTGGTTCACCGCTTCATTCGATACGGGCATTTTTCATACCTTCTCAAATGAAGAGTTCCGATAGACCAGGGAGAAATCATTAATCAATCACTAACTAGCAGAATCCCCACATTACGCACGTACAGTACGTTAAAATATATCTTCAAATTAATTGTATCTTAAGCTCTTTAATTGAATCGAAGATATCTCTAGTTTCATTGAAGATATCTTAATCAATCCTGTCTTTAATTTAAATGGTTAATTTAGTCAAATCTTTCAACTAACCTATAAAACACATGTATCTTAAAAACATATGAAAATGTTAGAACCTACATCTATGTTGATTAGAAAATGAAAAAACACTTTGTAACGAATATATCTTATTCATTATATCTATTTTCAATCCTATTTGAAAAATATATGAATAAATGCTATATGGTTTGGCGCTCCTAACAACTCTTTAAATATATGTTCACATTTATGACATGTGCCCATGCCACTCAACGTGGAAATTATCTACATATATAAAACGTGTAGATATATATGTTGACATTAAAGCATATGATTTCCCCTTCTATCACAAAGACTAATAGAACCGAGTTGAAAAGTAACCAGAATATTTGTGACAAAACGCAACAATAATGTGTAAAATCTACAGGGAATTTCGGGATATTGTAGGGGAATCTTGGGATATTTTCTAACTTTTCTATTAAGATATTGAGCACAACTCAGTGATACTGACATAAGCCACAATAATCATGTTTTATGTGAAGGAATTAATTTTGCCAACATAAAATTTTAAACGATAAATCAAGTTAATGATTGAATGAAGGAACTCGAAACGCCCAATTTCTACCTGGTATACTTGTATAAGAGTTAAAAGAAATCATGTAGGAAGATTGAAGAGTCTTATAGTCAAGTTTGGTTCCACGCAAGGTATGTTGTATATCGTTTTAGAGTAATTTTACAAATTATATAGGGCGCTATATAAATGATTATTAGGGATTTCCATTTCGGATAGAAATCCCTATTGTTTTCGTTATGTTTTCCTTTTATTATTGGTCGGGGCTAACATTTTCCCATGACATGTTATCAGAGAATATGTCAAGTTCAAGACCTCGCTATGAGGTCAAATATAGGTCAAAAATAAAAATATCAAAAATTGCTAATTTTTTATCACATCTTAAAGAACACGATCTGGTTAGTTTATGTGGAAAGTTTAAAGGTCACAACATCAAAAATGAAGAAGATATGTCACTTTGTAAATAGTTCATTTTCCCGCCAAAATTCAAAAGTTTCAAAAAATTGCACTTAAAACTATTCTCCACCTTTACTATGAAACATAAAAAGTTGATATTTGGCACATCTATAGCATGTATATTTGGCTACATACAGAGTTCAGCTCGTTGACCTTGATCTTTATTCAAGGTCACAGGGGTCAAATGATCAAAAAATGAAAAAGTCAAAATTCTTCAAAAAAACTTTTACACCACATACATGTATTAAAGATTGTATCCTAATAAAGAGATTTATAAAGTTTCAAGGTCAATGCATCATGATGCATGTCAATAAACAAGTGAAACCTACAAAATAGGTTTGTCAGAGAAGGGAAGCAAAGGGAAGGGAAACGTTTAAAAGCCATCGTCAGTCCGAGAACATATCTTTGATCATTTCCTTGTCGGAAATCCCGTGTTTTGATCTTGATCAAATCTAGTTATTATTATTATTATTATTATTATTATTATAAGGTATCAATCCGGCTTCAACATTATTTCAGAGTTAATCGTCATTAAATCATTGATGTAACTCCATTTCCACGTGAACCTTGATGCTAGGGTTTCGTCTTGACAACGGTGTTTCTAATTAGATACCCTTTTTGTTACTTTTAACAATTAACAAGATGTAATTTGTTTGGACCAATCTTGATGAGAAAAGAATAACATTAGGTTTTAGGTGTTTATATCAACTCGGTAAAAATGCCCCGACACCCCACCAACGATGGCATAGACTAAAAAAGACAGGTTATGCCATTTCACCAAGGGAATTCATGTTTTATCAACGCAACAGAGAGAGAATCCCGAATACCTTCAGGATGGCGTCTGGTATCTATCATGCAGCAATGGCGTCTCGAATGACCTAACAATTACAACAATCACACATTGCCTGCTAGATGAGTCTTGTTTCCTTCAAGGGGAATTGGTAACCTATTCGTAGTTGCAATTAAAATCTCGCAAATAATGAAGTTTATGATTATGAAGAATGTTAGATTCAGCCGGCTGTTTGTACTTAAAGTCCAAGAAAAGAAGCCATCAATTACGCGATCCCGACAAAGTGCCCAGGGAAATAGATCAACGACAAACTCATTGACAAGAACAAGAACAACAAGGACAAAAGGCAAGTGCATATGGAGAAATCCCCACTTAAGGCATCTGATGAAGTAAAAGATATGTATATTCCATGGATGCTGCAACTGTATGAAATATCAACGTCAATAGAAGAAATCTTCGAGAAGATTGCGAATGGGTACAGGAGCTCATACATGTATCGGTCGGCATGCTTAGCAGCTCGACAGAACTGCAACTACCATTGAGATCGGCAGTTGAGCAGTTCAAAGTTGTAGAAGCAGACTGGTGTTGACGCTAAGAGACTCCAGACTCACAGAGATCAGCGAGCCATGGATACAAACACTAACGGAAAGGGGACGTTCAGCAAGTACTCTATGGCGAAAGAAGCAAAGAGTATACCGGAATTGAGGGATTTTATCGGAAAAACTTGCGCCGGAGATCAACAGATTAAATGTATCCGTTTTTCGCCGTTGCCGGAAAAGGCGAACACTCGAGAACGACGTCAAGTGTACAGAAGTTAAATAATGAGAAGGGATATGGATGAAAGAATGAGAAAAAAACGGGAAAATTAGCCAACAGGAAACATGTGCCAGGTCGAATCTCTTGGAGAAGATGTTTGCAATGTGAAAGATTGGCCTTTCCGAATATTGTGTTGGATAACATCTGTATACTACACGCTAGTACCGTCTATAAACCTGCAGCGGTTCGATGGAGACTGACGGAGTATCGCTGCTGCAAACTGTATGGAAGGGAGGGAGGAGAGAGCCAGTCTCACATATCCTGTCGGGGTGCAAGGTATTAAGGTAGGGTAACTAATTCAAACGAATCTAAATGTGTAGTGAGATGCTGAGGGTTTCTTTTAAAAAGCCATCGATTATATACATGCACATGTCAAATACCATTTAAATGGACTCACAACACCACACAAACAACAACGAACAATGAATTCAAAATCGATACATGTATTAGAAAAAACACCATTTTCTCTCTTACATGTTTTAATATTTTATACTCCATATTGTCATGGTATGACTAGATATATTCTTTAGTAAATGACAATGAAAATCCACAGCATCCAGGATAATGATAAGACCATCACAACCGATCGCTATTGTGCCATCCAGACAACTTGCGTAGACAGGTCAGGCCAGCGGCAAAGCGGAAGAAAGACCCTTTCTCTTCTTGACTGATTTAAAGTAAAATTACATCCATCAATTCCTATGATCGCCCTGTTCTCAAAGTTGTAAGCGTATCAATATCATGTGAAGCAATGACTTTGATTACTAGGAAATCATTCGGGCCTTTCCGGCAAGCAAAGTAAGCCTTGTTTATATACTTGACGGAAAGGTCCGAGTGGTTTACTGATCGGAATAGAGGTTCCTCTACGAGTACTGGCTAGTTATATATCCCCATAGTTTGTGGAGTCCTCTTCATCTTGTACGGACAATATGCATAATAACTAATCACGGCAGGTTAGGTGAGTTTTTCTTCCATAACACTTACATATTATTTTCTTTCATCCTATATTCAGAACACATGGCTGCAATTTCCAATCCAATAAACAAAATCAAGTCACAATAGCAATCCTATTTATGTAAGTGTCACAAACTGTTGTGACGTAGGGGTTTTTGTGAGGTCAAAGTTTACACTGCTGTCATGAACTGTACGTATTATAAGACGTACCAACTCTCAACACAGATATAATCACCGAACAAGTATAAAGGCACAACACAGGAAGACATCACATAAACTGTTTCACAACAGGGCGACGTTGGTGTCACATTCAGCATACGTATTCAACTCCAATTTTATCACAAAGAATGCGTATCCATTCCATACTTCGATGACGAGGGTTTATCCCTAGCAAAACGTATGTATCCGTTGTGGTTTAGTTACTTCATGAACCGAACTTGTATAGTCCATCCTGCTTATGGGATAACCGTATCCAAGTTACATATGTACGTCGAGAGTCCGCACCGAAATGTGTTCCAGGCTGATTTGTGTTCCGTTGTATATAAAGCTTCGTGCCAGAGACAAAATGCCATTTTAGATGGTGCCGGAACCGGCAGATTACTTACCCTATCCATTAGTCACCCTACAACAACGGTTTGCATAATGTTGAAAATCTTCATTATGTGTGACAGTTGCAAATTATTACTACACACAATTAAATGTTAGGATTCATGTTATACGGTAAGGGTGAATAATTAACGCGCGACTATCAATAGACTATCAGTTACTCAGCTGATTTTATCGTCATCGAACATGTCCCCAATTCCAGAGAATAGAGACAACACAGTCTCGTGGACGTACGCTGTCGGACCACCAAATCCCAAGTCATAGTCCTCGTCTGCGTCCTTCATAGAACCAGTAACACCCCCCACACTTGCCCCGCCAGGTACACTCGGTCCCATGCTTGTCTGTACAGAACCTGCCGGTCTAGGTGATCCAACTTGCTTTGTAACATTACACGTTTCACTTTGTGTTTCCGGTTGACTTATTGAACCTCCGGTTGCTCCCGGAGTCCACTTTGGCATTTGAAGACGTCTTGTAATTGCAACTTGTATACTTGGTGACTTCATGTTCTGAATAAATCAAACAGGCACTTCATCAGTCACGGGTTTTCACAAATATTTCAAAGTTCCACAAAAGGGCAAATTGTAGTTAACCCGACGCCGATAATATCCTCAATCCAGTCTTTGCAGATATCA